GGAGAATCTTCCATTTTCTGCTGGTTTTTAAAAATCAAAGCATCTTGGACGCAGAAAATTTTGTTAATTAGGGTTATGGTGACAAGATGCATTCTTTCTTAATTATATAGATTTAGTTTTAATTCCATTAAATTACAATAATAAACCACTTTAAATTGCAATTTTTTTATCTAAAAGATTTTGCTTGCAAAAGCAAGTCTTTATCTAGGGTAAGTTTGAAATGCAGTTTTAACTATTATCTTTGAGACCTTTCTACACTTATTTTGAATAAAGGAACAAATCTGGGTCTCTAATACACGCACATAAAATTTCCCTTGAAGTCACTAGAAGCTAAGTGTTTCTGAAAGGAGAACTAGCCCACAATATTCAAATTAATCTACAAAAACTGTCATGAATATAAGACATAATACATAATAAGCTGTGGGTGCACATTATCGCAAGATAGATTTACAGCATATCAACAGCATTTAATTATTAGAATTATTTGTGCAAGTGATTGAACTACCTATCATGCAGCCACATAGTGGTACCTAGCAAAAAATCACAGCAATTCACTGTGAGGCAGAAAAATAAGTGTTCCTCTTATCCCTCTGAAATACGGTCTTAGGCTTTGTCTACGACTAGCAAGTGAACGACACAACTTTTGTCATCCAGAAATGTTTTAAAACAAAAACAAAAAAACCCACATACACCCCAAGACAAAAGTTTTGTCAAGGAAAAGCGCCAGTGTAAACAGTGCTTTGTTGGCAGGGGAGCTTTCTCTTGCTGACAAACAGCGGCTACACTGCGCGCCTTTTAGCAGCATGTTTGTAGCAGCACGGCTGTGTCATTAAAAGCTGTGTAGTATTGATGTAGCTTTAGGCCTTGTCTACACTAAAAAGTTTTGCTGGCAAAAGGCAGCTTTTTCCGACAAAACGGGGAAGGTATACACACTACAAACCTACTTTTGGTGGCAAAACTGCTGTTTTGGTGACAAAATAAAACCACCTCAGTGAGAGGCATAAAACCTTTTGCGGCAAAGTTAAAGCGACAGAGCGTCAGTGTAGACACTGCTGTTTGTTTTGTTGACAGATCTGGCTTCCGCCAGCATCCCACAATGCCTGTTTTGATCTCTGCTGCTCTGCAAGCATGCACCCTTCCCCTTTCAAAGCCCCTGGAGGTATCTGACAGCTGAGAGTGCTGCTGTGTTTGGGGAACAAAGAGCAAATCATTGGAATGCGCCTGTTCAGCCCTGCACTAGGAACCCAGCGGCAGGCAGACTGCTGCTGCAAGGGGGGGGTGGGGGGGAGGGAAGGCTGTGCTGCGCTGCTTTGACATTCCTCAGCGCGGAGAGCTACAGAACCATAAGCAGACAGGCAGAGCGGGCAGCTTGGGGCGAGACTGCTGTGCCGAGCAGAGCCAGGGGTTAAGTGTGGGGGGGGTGTCCCTCTCCCCATGCCTCAGGATAGGTCGGTCAGCCTGCTGTCTTCCCCACCCCAGACACACCATCTCCTCTCCCTTCCCACCACACGCTTCAGTTGAAAAAGCAGTGGACAACCTACTAGGGTGCCCTGGAACAATGGGATTGAGAAACCTGCATCATGTGACACTGTATCTGCCCCATGAGGCATTGCAAACTGTAATCCTTCCCAAAGCACCTTGTGGCCAGTTGCACAGTGGGATAGCTACCACAGTGCACTGCTCTCTGTCAATGCAAGAGCTGTTAGAGTGGATGCACTCTGCCGACACAAGAAACTAGTGTGGACATGCAATAGCGGTTTTAATTAAAGTGGCATAACTTTTGCCAACAAAACTTTGTAGAGTAAGCAAGGCCTTAAGGCCTGCTCCTAGTTAGGTGCATAAATACTTGTAACTTTACTTACCTGAATTTCCCCATTGATTTCAATAGTACTAATCGTGTAAGTTAAGTTGCTCACACGCATAAGTGTTGTAGCCTCAGAACCTTCTAAAGTCTTACCACAAAGACTGAAAAAAGTAAATGCTTACCTGTTAGCACATCGATTTTCCTTGTAGTTTAGTTCAGAATTCTATGTAGAAATTAATTTAGATATAATCTGAAATGTACATATTTTTATGGAAACTATGTAACTTCAAAATATTTGAATTTAGATTCTCAGATTTTTCTCAAAATTTTACATTTGCAGTACATAACACACAAATGATAGTATTGAAAGGTACTGGTTAACATTTGCATCTCTAAAAAAACGAGGAGTCCGGTGGCACCTTAAATACTAACCGATTTATTTGGGCATAAGCTTTCGTGGGTTTTTTACCCACGAAAGCTTATGCCCGAAGTGGGTTTTTTACCTACGAAAGCTTATGCCCAAATAAATCTGTTAGTCTTTAAGGTGCCACTGGACTCCTCGTTGTTTTTGTGGATACAGACTAACACGGCTACCCCCTGATATTTGCATCTCTGTAGTCTATCTAGATTGTGTGCCCTTAATCTCTATTTTATTTAATATAAGTAGGCTTGGCAGAACTAGATTTTATTTTATTTTATAATTTTGACTATCTGTTTGTTTTTAAGGATTTTTGTGTGTGTTTTATCCACATGATGAAAGGGGTGCATAACCAATGGAAAAATCTTTCATTGACCTGTTCAACAGCAAGAGGAAAAATCTAACCTATGTGATGATAACGCTGAAGAATGATAGTGCTGTAATACTACTTATAATTATTTAATGATCATAGATCTAGAGATTTAAAAAGTTAAAACACAAATTGTCAACATCATATGTCAAAATATAAAAATAAATATCCTTAAATTAAACTCAGTGTTCTCAAGCAGCATTTTTCTTACTTTGTCATCAGTGGAAATATTTTTTTTTCATCTGTTGTGTGGGTGAAATGATCTTTACCAATTTAAAAATCTAATTCTTCCAAGCCTAAATATAATTAACAAATGAATTAATCCCATAAGTAAATTTACTGTTCATTGTAACGGATTATTTTGGGAGAAGAAGCTGTTAACCTCATCTTGTCAGCTTAGGTAAAGAACAGTCTTCAACCACTCCCTGAAGAAAAAGCCTTACACAAATGTATAAAGAAATACATAAGCCTGACTCTTCCCCAGTCTTCCCGTTTTCTTAAAGAAAAAAATTATTCATGAATGAAAAATCTGTACTGGAAAAGATAGGTACAGTAGTTACTTTTTTAATACTTAAAATTTTATGCAAAGGTTGTCACCGCTCATTTAAACCCTAATGTTCGGGGATCTATTTTGTTCTAAAAATGTGGGCTGAGATCTTGGCCATTGAAGTCAGTGGGGCCAGGATTTTACTTTGATCTTTACTGAAAATTGGCATAAAAATCCAAATGTTCTTAGAGAGTGGCAAGGTCCTTACGTTGATGTCTACTTCTAATGTGATGTTACTGCTGCTTGTTACACAAATCATGCATTTATGCATGCAGTTAAGTTTGTTTAGTCTGGGAAAGAGAAGACTGGGATGTGATAGTTTTTATGTATGTAAAAGATTGTTATAAAGAAGTGTTAAATTGTTCTCATCCACTGAGAACAGCGCAAGAAGTAATGGTCTTAAATTGCAGCAAAGGAGATTTAGGTTAGACATTAGGAAAAACTTTGTAATTGAAAGTGTAGCTAAGCACTGAAACAAATTTCCTAGGGAGGTTGTGGAATCTCTGTTGTTGGAGGTTATGAAGAACGGGTTAGACAAATACCTGTCAGGGATAGTCTAGAATAATATTTAGACTTGACTCAGTGCCAGGGACTGGACTAAGCGACCTATTGAGGTCCGTTCCAGTCTCCCATTTCTGTGCTTCTGTGTGGATATTTGCCCACCCACTCACTGTCCTGTCATGACTTAATTAGCTGAATGGGTTTTGCTCATATATTAAATCACTCAGTTGGTAGTGAGACTGGACTCAAAGGGGGTTACTGATCTATCCAAATGAAGTCACTTGTCTTTATTATATATACTATTGTGCTATGGATCTTGACATCTTTTTTAAAAACTTTTGGTGGTTAACTGATCAGTAAGGCTAAGATTTTTGTCACGGATATTTTTAGTAACAGTCACCGACAGGTCACGAGCAGTAATAAAAAATTCATGGAAGCTGTGACCTGTCCCTGACTTTTACTAAAAATATCCATAACAAAATGGGGAGCCTGGGCATCTGCCGTGGGTTGGGAACTCCAGGGGCCCCCTCCACTGGTGGCTCCAGGCAGCAGGGCCCCCCCTTGCTGCCCGGGATGGCCGGGAGCGGCAGGGGTCCTTCCCCCCCCCCTTCCCACCTGGGAGCAGCGGGTACCCCGCAGTTCTATGCCTCCACAGGTGACCGGGGACCCTGCAGCTCCCAGCCGGCGCTGGCTGAAGTCACGGAGGTCTTTGGAGGTCACGGAATCCGTGACTTCCCTGCCCTCCATGACTAAATGGCAGCCTTATTGCTACCTCTGGAATTCAGGGTTCATATCACACTTTTAAATTGATGTGTATTAAAACTACCCAGTGTACTCACCTGTCAAAGATGACAACATGAACTGATTCTGTCACTTGATTTGAGAACCTAGACTTGATGAATTCATTGTTGCAACTTTTTATTGGTATGGGAGCTTTTTTCGTATAGTCTGTAGTATTCAAATTTGTTCCAACCACTTAGGTTTCAAAATGCAAGCCATCATTTGGAACTATCACCATTGCGACTTGAATGTGGTGGAAACTACACCCCTCTTCTGCCCACCAAAATAATCCTAGCATTAGTTTGTCTGGATTTTATTCTGTTTTGAACTGTTTGATTAGTACTTCTTAAATGGAAGACATGACAGTTTTCTTGAGATGAAAGGCATGATAAATCTGCTAAAATAATGCTGTTTAACAGGGTGAATGGATAAGTTCAGCAACATCTAGTAAAAACCAAAATACTTATAAACATCAAACACCTAATCTTGCAGCAACATGGCAAGGACAGCAGTTATCTTGTGCATCTCTTCAATTTTGGTGAAATTTTTGACTTTTTAGAAAACCATCTTTTCCTTTCAGATCTTTCAAAGAACAGATTTACTGAAATTCCTCCAGATGTCTGGCTGTTTGCACCACTTGAGACTTTAAATTTGTATCACAACTGCATCAAATCCATTCCTGAAACCATCAAAAATCTGCAGATGTTAACATATCTTAATATTAGGTGAGTAACTCTTTTTTCCTGTTGATGTCTAGGGATTACATATAGACCATCAGGAAAGATGGCATTCATCCTCCTCAAGACCTTGATTAGTTTAGTTCCCTGCTTTTTCTCAGCTTGTTAAACGTTATTCTATAGTTTGTCTTTGGTTGTAGGTCAGATAGCTCCTTCTTCCTTCATGGGAAGGAGTTGACTGTATTACCATATTCCAAACAGTAATTTGCAGAAGCTAACTATGTGGGAAGCTAATGGAAGTTTCCTTTCTTTCTGGTGCTATACAGGTAAGTGTCTATGAAGGTTGGAAATAGGCTATAGAACCTGGATTATTCTGTTCAGAAGGCTCTATTGACTTAGCATACAAATGAATAGTGAGAGAGGTGACTGCATTACTGAAAACAAATAGTAGGATCTTGTGAGACAAAGGAAAAGAAATAAACACCAGCTTTACAGGAAGACTTATTTATAAAGTGTTATCGGTATACATAAATATTGTATGGGGCATTATGGAAAACTGTAACCTTCCCATGCGCAGTTGAGACTTGTTTTCTACAATATGCCCAAATTTTGGTCCCTGATCACCTAAAATCTTCTGGAATAATCTCTTCCACTATACATTTTGCATATGGGATTTGTGACCATTGGTCATTTTGTTCTTGCCAAGTTTGAGGTGACTTGACTGATAGAGTGGATTCAGGAACAATAATTGTTAATCATGTCTTGAAAGCTCCAATGCTTCCCCCCCCTCCACCCTCCATGTCCTGTCTCTCTCTCTTTTTTTTTTTTTTTTTTTAACTCATAATTTCAAGTGAAGTTTAGTCAGAAGCTTATGGAGATGTAGAATACAGGACCAAATTTGAAACAGGAAGGAATATTTAGGAAGTTATGCACTGGCAAATTTGCAGAGTAAGAATGGTCTGTATTGTGGAGGATTTAAAGAGCACTAGTGACATCTGAGAGACCTACGCTGTTTTTCTTTTCCTGTGCAAAGGGCTGCAAAGCACAATCCTTTTCTGCTTCTGGGGATAAAAGATGCAGGAAAAAACCTCCTTAAACAAGACTAGAACAAATGCACATTTAAGTAGGGGGTTTTATTTCTGCATTGAAGCAGGTTCTTGGGGTATTTGGGTGGCCTGTTCCATGATGTGCTTTACTTCTCTTGGGGAGTATCCTTGCTTGGTGAAGAGGAGGAAGGACTCAGCTGCTTTCAGACACTCCTGCAGGCTCTATCTCTGTCTGTGGTTACCCAAAACAGCTCCCTCAACTCTCCCTCTGTGTTGCTAGTCAAAATCACTGTATAGCTTGAGTGTTTCACAGTGTGGTGGATCATTCTCTTGAGCTAGGCTAGCTGGAGTGGAGTAACTAGACTCTCTACTGTTGGAATGAAGACAAGCCCTAACACTAGCAAATTAGATCAATCCAGCTACGTTGCTCAGGGGTGAGAAAAATTCACACCCCCAGAGCGACATAGTTTAAGCCAATTTAAGTTCACTTGTAGACAATCTTCCATCAATCTTGGTACTGCCTCTTGGGGAGAGGAGTTACCTACACTGACAGGAGAACCCCTTTCACAGAGCAAGCCTCTGAGTGTGACCCCCCCAATAAATTAAACACACTTTTTAATATATTTAACACCATTGTAAATGCTGGAGGCAAGCAGGGTTTAGGATGGAGGTTGACAACTCGCGACTCCCCCATGTAATAACCTCACGAGCACCCACAGTTTGAGAACCCCTGGCCTAGGTAATATCTACTCTAAAGTGCAGCTGTTCTGCTGTAGCTTTTCAAGTGTAGGCAAGCCCAGAGATTCAATTTACAAGTCAATGGGTTTGCTTATTTTGTCTTGTTTATCTTGAGTCCATTTCACTTGACATTACTTGTACAGGCTGGTCTGCCAAGACGTTGAAATGTTTTTATAATTGCATCTTGTTCCCTAGATTTACATCATATTATTGGAAGACTAAATCATTACACTAGAAGGCTATTTTATTCAAATTGAATGGGGACATGGAATTTATTTGGCTAAGGCAGGCTTTTTTCATGTAAGTGATTCACACTGGGGAACAGCTAAAATTTGAATGAGGGGTATTGCTGTGTACTTTAATACCTATTGGAACAGAGAGAATGTTTTCTTGGAATTCATACAAGCTTCAAGAGACTATTTCAGTGTAATCTTTTTTTCCCTTTTTAGTCGAAATCTTTTAGCAACGTTGCCAAAATACCTGTTTGACCTGCCACTTAAAGTTTTGGTTGTCAGTAATAATAAGCTGGTATCCCTTCCAGAAGACATTGGAAAGTTAAGAGACCTGATGGAGTTGGTGAGTATAATTGTGTACACCAGTGTTCAGTGTATTTACAGTATAGATAACTGATTAGTGCGGTAAAAAAGTATCATTTGATATTACTAGTAGTTTATTATGGTAGTGCAAAGGGCTGACTAAGAGTGGGGCCCCGTTGTGCTAAGCACTGTACAGAGTAGAAGACCGTCCCTGCCGTAAAGAGCTTACAGCATAAAGACACCCATCTGGTCAGGGAAGGGGATATAAGACAAAAGCAGAGTGAACAATATGACGGCAGCAAACATCATGTTGTTGCCTGTATTTTTTTGGTGGGGGTGGAGGGAGGGAATTACGTAGGAGATAAGCTAACAGGGAAGGGGGAAGTGAGGGGGATGGAGAGGATTGGCGCTAACAGCTGATTGGCACAGGGCAAAGAAAGACAAGTCAAAACTGTGCGAAGTTCTCTGACGGTATGTTTACACAGTGCTTTGAAGCCAGGGGAGCAAGTCTCCCAGCCCAGGTTGACAGACTTGAGCTAGCAGGGCTAGTGCTAGCATTCTAAAAACAGCTGTGTATACCGCTCTTCGAAGTCGTGGCTTGGGCTGTATTTTATTAAAATTATCTAAAACACTGGTTAATAAAGAAGTTTCTATTCATCAGAGTATAACGTTAAATTGTCCAAAAGTAGCAAGTTTGATTTAAAAAGTCATAAAATGGATATAATACATAATCTGCAATATCTCAAATTAGGGTTAATAAATTTAGCAGTACATTTTAAATATCAGTATCCAAATACTCAGATACATCACTCATGGAAAGGTTTCAGAGTAGCAGCCGTGTTAGTCTGTATCCGCAAAAATAACAGGAGTACTTGTGGCACCTTAGAGACTAACAAATTTATTAGAGCATAAGCTTTCGTGGGCTACAACCCACTTCTTCGGATGCACTCATGGAAAGTTATACTAAGAGTAGCTTGTGGAAAATATAATAATGAGTGTAGATTGTTCCTCAATAATTGAAAATGTAAAGTAGGTTGTCCATGAATAAATACGGTCCACCAGAGAAGAATTTCAGCTACTTTCCTGTCTTTGCTTCTCATTGGCACTGTAGCTTATTTCTCCTGGTATTGCCAATGTCTGGTGATATGTTCTAGTCTAAATAAATGTCTCTTGATCACCTGATGGTGTCTGATGCTGTGAGTCACTGCTTTAGCCGGGCACTGAGCTGACTGATTCCACATTCTAGTAGCACTCGCTTGTTACCAGGATCCCGGGTGCCCCAGGCTCCCACAATCAGTCCATGTGTTTGAACCTTGTAACCCCTGGCCCTCAAAGCATCAGCCAGGGGGGTGTATTTCTCCAGCTTTCGAGCTCTGGCACCGCAGAAGGTCAAGGTTCTGTTCTCAAAAGGAACTGTCATCCACCATGACGACCATCTTCTGTTCCTCATTAGTAATGACTATGTCCAGTCGCAGTTGATTCTCTGTTCCAAGGACGGTGGAGTTCACAGCAACCTTTGCTACGGTTGGTAAAATGGCCTTGATTAGGTAGTCTTGGATAGTGGTGTGGCGCAGCTGGCAGGCTTTGAAGTTGGGTTTGCAGCTGCACAAGATTTGGGGTAGTGTCTCGTTAGCACAGTCAAACTTTCTACATTGATTGTCCCAGTGACTCCGTTCAGCAGGATGCAATTGAGCCAAGCCCTGTTGATGAATTTCCAGTCGGCAAATCAGGTGAAGCTGTCCCTGGGGAGGAAGTGGTTGCTGGCATCCCACTTGCTTGTCACCTCAAAAGCCACCTCAAAAGCCTTGACCTGGTCCAACTTCCATCTCAGGTTTTCCACTTACTGCCAACGGATGGCATCGTTCAGTGTCCTCTTGAGTATGGTCCTTGCTGTCGGAGTAATGACTGTGTGCTCAATGTTCTTGATCTGTGGCCCCAAGACTCCCAGCTCCTGATGTTCCTCATACCATGTCCAGAGGCAGCCAATAAGCTGCTGCAGCCATCGTGTAGCATTGTGGGTACAAGTCCAAAGTGAAGCAGTGTCTCCCCAGTCTGTTCCAAATTCGCCTTCCAGGGAGCCACTCAAGTACGTGGCGACGTCTTGGCTGGAAGGGGCCCTAGCTATTCGCTTCCTGCTGACATCACGCACAGCACTGGCTGCAGTGCTCCTCACCATAGTGTCCTGGTATGTCAAAAGACAGAATGTGCGAGTGATCACCACAGTGTTGCATAGATCACCATTCAAAGGATGTTGACACTACCCTGCCTATGCAAGATGTCTATCAGTTCATTATTGGCCCTCTGGGGAAGGTACATCCACTTCTTCACCACCTGCCTTATGGTGTTGTCCGCCTTGTTGAGAGTTACCTTCCCACGCTTACATGAATGCCTAAACAAACATTACTTTAGTCTTGCAACACCTGTGAGAAGTAGGTGTAAACTCTGCTTATTCACTGTGGCTGAACCACAGAGGTTTAATGAGTCTGCAGCAGCCTTTGTGAGACCAGAATGATATTTTTTTCTGAGGCAGTAGAGCAGCAGGTTCCCAAACTTTTTGCTAGCACCACCCTATCTTAATGAAGTATTTCCTGCTGGGACTACAGACAGCATGGAGGATGCCATTTTATAGAGCAAAATGGCATCTTCTGCACAGCGTGACCTCACACGCTCCGTATGTGTGAAGTCATGCCGCATGGAGGATGCTCTACAAAATGGCACCCTCTGCAAAGTGTGACCTTGTATGTCTGGTGCGTGTGAGGTCACACTATGCAGAGGATGCCATTTTGTAGAGTGAAATGGTGTACTCCATGCATCGTGACCTTGCACTCGCTGTACATGCAAGGTTATGCTGTGTGGCACAAAATGGCATTTTCCACACACTAGGGATTGCCGTCATCCCCTCTGCTGATGGTGTGACCCCATTTGGTGTTGCAACCCACAGTTTCGGAACCGCTACAGTAGAGGCTCATCATTTTAGATCCAGTGGTCTCAGGTGATTGTGTAACATAGGGAAGAAGAAAAATTATTATCCCCATTTTGCAGAGGTACAGAATGTAAGTGAGCTGTCTGCAGTTACACAAAAGACAGATGGGAATCAAATCCAGATCTCCTGATTGGGTCCAGTGCAAATCTCAAGGTGGCCTTTCCTTGTCCATTGGATTAGACTCCTTGATTGGGCTCCCACACTACCAAATGTTGCTGCAGATTGGGAAAGACTCTCCTGAGAGCTGGGTTATAGCAGCTCTCAATTTGGTAAGAAAAGGGGAAAAAAGGAATGAGGATATCGTTCTTTAAAACGTGTTTTTGTAATAGCTTTCACTGAAATTTTTCCTTTGTTTAATTTCAATCGAGCTATTCAGCTCATTGACTCATTATCTTTTACTTAGGATATCAGCTGCAATGAGATTCAGGTCCTTCCCCAGCAAATAGGAAAACTCCAGTCACTTAGAGAATTAAACATTAGAAGAAATAATCTCCATGTGTTGCCAGATGGTAAGCTGCTCACCATCCTCGTGTTGAAATAGGTCAATTACACAAAATATTAGGGTGTCTAATTTTGTTTTCTTTCCCCCTTAACAGAATTGGGAGACCTTCCCTTGGTAAAGCTGGATTTTTCTTGTAATAAAATTACAGAGATCCCAGTTTGTTACAGGAAATTACGTCATTTACAAGTAATAATTTTGGATAACAATCCAATGCAGATACCACCGGCACAGGTTAGTATAAAAAACTTCCATTTTCTCAACTTTTCCAGGATTTTAAGAAAGAGTAAGATGTGTTAGGTTAATTACCAACCAACTGGCAGTGGCACAAGGAAATATCATAAGGGCATTTCTTGACCCATAATCCTTTGCTCAAAACATTATTTTGTAGTTAGTCATTCATACCACCTTTTACATTAGTTAATCTGGAGGCCAGACTAGATAATTGTAATAGTCCATTCTATCCTTTAATTAAAAAATAAATAAAAAAAAAAACCTATGAATAAACCTCTGAAAATCAGGCTAATGCTGATTATATTATGGGGTAGTCTGATAAATTGTCATGAACATCCAAAGATTTAACCCAGGAGAAAAATTGTAGGTGTGAATGTTAGGGTCAGTCGTCTTTCTCCCACACACAGCCATCTTTCTTTCTCTGCATCCATGTTTCTGCTTGTTCTTTCCACCTGCTTTCTGTTGCTGATCTTTTCCTCAACCCAGCCCTATAGAGACATAATGAGCAAGGTCCACCCCCAAAATGTCTTAAAAATCAGTTTAATCTAATCTGAAACTGCAAACAATATCCTGCACTAGTCATAATTGCATGGTAATTGTATTAGTTATTGAATAACGTCATTACAGGGTGGATTAAAGGCACCCAAACAGCGGTATCTTTGCATTTCCATACCTTAACATCTTTGGATTTCTTTCAAGTTTAATTCTAATATTCCTGGGCTTGTGATGCTTGTTTTGGAGATAATTGCTACATCCCTGTAACTTTTTTTTTTTACTGTTAAATTACTGATACGTACACAACCTTGACTCCAGGTCAGCTTAGTTTTTATCTGGGTATTACATAGTACTTGTTTTTTCCCTTACTGACATTTGAAAATAATCATAAAATTTACTTTAATATAGTTGTATGAGTTGTACTTATTAGAAACATCTTTGACATAAGAAAATTAATGTTGGAGTTTAATTTTGTTTGTTTATAACCCGTATACTGGCTTAGTTTGATATGTATTATGAGTTTCATACAGCATGTATCAGAAATGTCCAAACTCAGCTCCTTTCCTCCCTGATCCCTGAGATGTCTTATTTACCTTTGTTGCGGCTTCAGCCACCCTGATACCTTTCCCTCTGATTGGTATTCAGATGCTTCTGTGTCTGATGTATGCAGTGTTGTTGTAGCCATGTTGCTCCCAGAATATTAGTGACAAGGTGGTTGAGGTAATACCTCTTACTGGACCAGCTTCTGTTGGTGAGAGAGACAAGCTTACACAGCTCAAAAGTTTGTCTCTCACCAAGAGAAGCTGGTCCAATAAGACACATCACGTCACCCACCTTGTCTCTGTGCCTGATGTCATTCAGACCACGGGCAGCCTTCTCTGCTGACCTTACTCTGCAGGCAGGCAGCCAGCCCTGGCACTTTTATGTACCCAAAGAGCAGGTCTGCTTGTCTTGGGCTTCTGGACAATTAGATTTTTTTTTCCACCCCGACTGCTAAACTACTAAAGCTCCAGTTTTTTTTCATTTGAATAGTAGAAAGTAAATAAAAACAACTCTGAAATGTAGAAAGTGTCTGATGTATGATATTATAAATATGCCATGCATCTAAATTAATTTTTTCATGTGTTTCTTAACAGATATGTTTAAAGGGCAAAGTTCACATATTTAAATTCCTCAGTATTCAAGAATGCCTCAGAATAGATAAAAAACCAGATTCCTTAGATCTTCCATCACTGGGTAAAAGAATCCCATCCCAGCCACTCACAGACAGGTATTACCTTTCTTCTTTAGAACTACTTAATGTTTGCTATGAAATAAATGTTTAGGATAACAGAGAACTACTCTCACAATAAGGTCATGTAATTTTAATAGTTGTATTTACTTTTAAGGCATCATTATTACAAGTTAATTGATTAACTGATTTAAAGAAGAATTATATCAATTACATTATCTCTTCATTCTTTTCATCTTTTGCTACAAAGCAAATAGTAATTGTACTTTTTCAAATTTTCAGTAGTAGAGTACATCAGAAATTAGAATAAAGATGGATTTTGAATGTGTGTTTTGAAATGGGCAGCTTTTCTTTTTCATACTACTACAGTACAGTCTAGTATTGAAGTTGTATTCCTCTGAGCTTGCTCAAAATAGAAGTGTATTGCTAGATGGAAAGCCTGCCTTCCAATGCTGATCCAGCTGTATACATTTATAAGGAATTATAAAATGAGCAATACCTTACAAAGTTTCAGAAAAACAAGAGAAATCAAACTGAAAAGTTCAAATCAAGTAAAAAGTGCAATGTATTTTGCTGGACTTTCTCAATTAAGATACTTCTGTTAACTGCTTCAGAACTATCTGATCTCAACAGTCTTTAACCAGTCTTGTTTTAGGAAACTCTATTACCTACAGAACAAGACTTTACCCTTGCCAATATACTTAAAATTGCATCCACACCCTGTGCCAGTATTTGTTGACTTGGTGCTGAATAAAAGAGAAAAGCTGTTTGCTGTGACAGGGATCTCTGGAACATTCAACCTCTGCGAGAGAAGAACAAGTTAGTTATCCAAGGGGCTTAACAAAGCATAATGGGATGAAAATGTACAAATGTGAATGTAGGCTGGATACCAGACACAATACCACACCTAAGGGCTTGTCTACACTGGGAAATAGCCTGGAATAGCTGTTTTAAACTAGCTCCCAATGTGGACACTCTTATTCTGCACTGAGAGTGGATTAAGCTATACTGCGAGAAGGAACTCTTAGTGCAGAATGAGTGTCCCTGTGGGGGGGGTTAGTGCAGAATATTGCACTTGAAATTCACACAGCGCTTGAATGGACTTCGGGAAACAATCCTGAATTTTTTGGGAAGTTGGATGAGATAACCCAATTGATCTTCTCAACCTTAAATTTCTATCCGATATCCTTCTTTAAAATAGCCTCTCAGCACACTAACATTTCTATAGTGGGTCTTGTGTCACAGATAGGTGTAAAAGAAAGCAATAAACCCTTTGTCCCAGCAACCATAGAGATATGGGGGGAAACAGCTTGAAAATGGTGGCTTCCTTTCACTTACCATTTAGAAAAGCGATATCTTGTCTTACCTGCAATGCCTTCTCTTTGTTATAGTATGGAAGACTTTTATCCCAATAAAAATCATGGTCCTGACTCTGGCATTGGCAGTGATAATGGGGATAAAAGATTGTCTACAACTGAAGTGAGTGGTTTTTTTACTATTCACTGTATATTTTTATTTTTCTGTGTTGATAGAAGAGGGTTGAAAGGACAGTTCTTTTCTTCATTTACAGAGGCAGTTTATTGTTTAGCTTGTGCATAATTTTGCTGCACTAAATTGCTTATTTCTTTGTCATTCAGATGTGCTTTGTAGAACTTGAGAAAGCTTAAATGTAATGCATATTGCAGTTAAATGAACTCAGTAAAATGTGCGACAAACTTACTGTAAACAGTGTAGTTGTAGCTGTGTTGGTCCCAGAATATTAGACAGACAAGGTGGGTGAGGTAATATCTTTTATTGGACCAACTTCTGATGGTGAAACTTGCTGTCAAGCATAGAATGATGATACTAAATGTTAAAATTATTTATATGTCCCTCTGAATATTTAGCCCTAATTAGTTGCATGGTGCTCTGTCACCCTACTCCAAGCTTTTTTAAAATTGAACTCTGAACCAAATCGGTGGTGGCTTGTTTGGCCATTTTCAGATAGAAAATGCAAGATCATGTTTTAAAACAGGGAACAATTAATTTGAGAGCTGCTTTTGTTTTTCTAATCATTTCTGTTTTAATATAAGTTGAGGTATAATGTATTTTTCTTTGCATTGGCTGTTGTTTATTAATGGGGACTATTGATTGACATATTAGCCATATTATCAACAACATTTAAAAACTATAAGGGAATTGGGGTTTTTATCCTATTTTTCCAATAGCTTGCTTATGTAGCTGTATGAATCTTTGTGTAATCAACTACAGTTTGAGTAACAGCAGTACTAAAATTGAATATGGTAAAATTATAAAACTGGGACTAAGGGAAGATTTAAGTCTAGGCTAAAAAATGTACTTGCAAATTCATCTGAAGCATAATTAGATTGTTCGTAGGAAACATGTTTTAATTCTGATTATTCTTTGCAGCCATCTGATGATGACACAATCAGCCTTCACTCTCAGGTATCAGAGTCGACGAGGGAACAGACGTTAAGGAATGACAATCATTTAATAGGAAGTAAATTTGACTCACATAAAGGTAATGCCTAATCTTTTTAGTACACAGAAACACTCTATTGTTTAAGGTGCAGATAATTTTTGTTAAGCACTGCACAAGATTATGTGATGGTGTATTAGATCTGTGCATTTACACTCAAGCAACATTGTAATAAAATTATAAATATAAGATCAACAAACATACAACAAAGAAAAAGCCATCTCTTGAAAATCTTGTCTAGATATATAGCAAGAGCTCACTGTATTAGTTCTATTTGACTTTGTCACAAGTACCTCTTAGGAATAACGTTAGGTTGAGAGAACTGTTTAACATTTTCTTTTTTTCAAACTTGATCAATCATCCCTAGACCAGGAGGTGTATGATTACATTGACCCTAACACAGAAGATGCAGCTATTCCTGAACAAGGAGATGTACAAATGGGACCGTTCATCTCTTATGTTAAGGTAACGTAACTTAATAAGTGGAAAACATTAGATGACACATCTTGGTCATTAATGTCTAAACTCTTAATTTTTTTTCATTCTGTATAAGGAACGAGGAAAACACCCTGAGAAATCGCAGAAAATAGAAGGGAATGATGAGTGGGGAGATGAAAAGAGGTAGGCCTTATAAACATCTCTTGAGAAGTCAATATTTCCAAAGCAGAGTTCTGCGATAGCGGGTACAAGCACCTGCGGTTGGGCAGAAGATCAACTTTTAGGAAGAGTTTTTTGCTGTCAAGTAACACGATCATTTGCTTAAAAAAACAAGTCCCCAAACCTGCATGCCTTTCCATAACCTGCTGAAAACAAAACGTTCCTCTTTCAGGCTTCAGAAAGAGCAGCTGTTGGCAGAGGAAGACGATGAATTGAAAGAAGTGACTGACTTGAGGAAAATAGCAGCTCAGCTACTGCAACAAGAGCAGAAAAACAGGTAATACGAAATCCAAATACAGTAAATATGGCACACAACTTGTCTAACCTGTGTGGTTTTCCATTTCAGTTGTCTGGTTAAAACTCTTTTTTGTTTGTTTGTTTTATAGCTTTGAGGATAGACTTGTGCAACTAAAGACATTAAACAGTCAAACAAATTCATACCAGATGTTTAGGGGGGTGTGTCTCATGTCTGTTTTCATAAAATTGCTAGACAGAGAAGCAACAGTGTCCAGATGTAACCTGTATATTGTGATAGATAGCAATTAATGATTTTTTTTTTCATTGCTCATCTAGTGGAACGGAGAGCAGGAAATCCATTTGATGTGAACATTTTATGTTTCATAACGTTAAGCTAGTCATTGATTATCTGATCAGGTGTTTAACACTGGCACTTTTCAAAGTGAGACACTCCTCTGTAAAAATGATGGAAATTAGTAATGGCAAATTCTTGGCATTATTGCTGATGTGCTAAAATGCTCTAAGCGTAGATTATAAATGACCATTTAGCACCATGTACTGCTTCTGTGTGGTTGGTTATTTTTACAGAATATGAAGTTTTCAGTGAATACAGGATACCAGATTTTAGAGGGTAACTCCTCCATTCAGACTACCAAGATATAACATTTTGCTAAAGGATGAGGAGAGAGGACCCTTGCTCACGCATGTGTCTTTCAAATGATAAAACACACAAACAAGTTGAATAGCAGTAGTCCATCCTGGCCATCTAGCTAGCTGGCAGTTTCCAATGGGCATTGCAGAGGAAGGGGCTCTTGAGGAGGGATTTGGAGTGGGACAGGAGAGTGGCTTTATGGACTAGTTTGGGCAGGGTATTCTATATATAGGTGTAACAAGGAAGAAAATAAAAAGGTGCTCGTGGAAGTGGAAAAACGGGTGATGGAGTGAGAAGGGGAAAGAAGGCAATATGAGAAGATACAAGAGAGGATAAGTAGGGAAGGGCTAAGCTGTTATTGATAAGGACCAGAAGCTTGTATTTGATGTTGGGGAGAATGGAATAGAACCAGTGCAATCCTGAATGGAAGGGCTCTGAGAGGATTACTTGGGAGAGTCAATGGCACATTGGCAGATGGATTTCTGGATGTGGCATTCAGTGATGGTGAAGAAGTGGTGTTCTATAAGGAACATGGCAGAACTAAGAGGGGTTAAAGAGTATTTGTAGTAGGGGAATCTGCATGGTCATAGGATTTCCCACCAATGTGCTCAGCTGTGCAGGAGCAAGACTGAAGGGAAGCAGAGAGAGTGTGGCAGCAATCTAGCAAGATGACACATTCCATAATCAGATGAATACAGTTTTCATTAGTGTCTTAAATTTCAGCATAGCAATGAGATGCTGGGGATGCTACGCATCTGTTTGTCTTAAAACATTGTGAAAGAGATTAAACCCTAAAATATCCTGAGATTGCAGCTGCGTAGTGTCAAGCTTTAGAAATTGGCCAGAGTTTATCCCCATTGAGTACTTCTTATATCACAACTAATGAATTGATGTTAGCTGAGTTTAATATTAACTGTGTGAAAAGATAATATGAATGTTTCTATAGCTTTAATTACTTGTCATTCTATTTAAAGTATTTAGGAATGTGGACGTGTCCATAGGGAAGGGAAATATAATTAAGAAAGAGAGATAAGTAGGAAACAGTAATGTTTAGTCCTGGTTAGCTGGCAACTGGCAAAAAAAAAATTAGAAAAGAAAATATTTTGAATTCTTTCTGTACTATAAAATATAAACAATATTTAAAAATTATAGTAAACATTGTTTCAAAACAGTCATGTTAGTTTTTTTAAATGGTGATAATTATATTGGAAAAACATGTTGTAAATCTCCTTATGTCATCATTTGTTACACCAAACGTTTCCTCTGTGACCAGACTTCTAACCTAGTGCTGCTTTAAATTACTTTTGTTAAGCATAGCCGTTACTGTGCTGTATTTAGTAATTGAGTTCAGAACTCTACATTCTGCTTTGGTTGGCATTGCAATGGTTATACTTGCATGAACCTATTGATTTGCTAAGCTTTACTGCTATATCTGTGACACTTGTATTTAATATTTGTGTACATTTTTTAAAATGTGGAGACAAATTCAGCACTGATTTAAACTATATGCAGTCAGCAAAATATAGCAAGATGTAAGTTGGCCCTGATTTTTGCTCATAATTTTTTGTGACTGTATACTTCCTTGTAGTGACAGCAATAAGAATTGGAATTAGAGATTAACAGTTGAAATATTTCTGGTTTTGAATCTACAACTTTGTAAACATTTAGATCGTGCAATTTTGACCTGATCACATAGATGCCTCTAAAATTTGTGCAATCTAATAATTTCTTATTAACCTTAACTCTGATCATTTAGCATGTTTTCTTTTACTCCTGTGAAATCTATCCTCTTTTTCTTTTCTGCTTGCTATACTAATGACTTCCCTGTCCTCTCCCATCAACTTCTCCTGCTTCCTTCTTCCATCTCTGGGTTTGGTGTACATGAAATGTGAATACAGACGGAGACCATTAACCTATAGAACTTCATTCAGTGAAAAACTCTTCCAGAGGACGAGGGCTGCAGGACGTGCATCCAGGTATCTAGTGTTTGTGGAGCTTAAAACTCTGAAGATCGCATGTTAGACAAAAGCAATATTATCAAGACTTGGCTTATGCAAAATAGAACAAAGTAACTGAGTGAATTAGTATAGGATATTTAATGGCCAAAAAACTGATCACAAACTAAATTGTTATGAACACATTCAATATTGTCCAAGAGGAAGTGTGTTTGTATTTCAGAACATTAGGTAGTTTAACATTAGCTATTCAGAGGTAACTTCCAATTGTAAGCTTGACTTTTTTTTTTTCCAGTCCCCACCACTGACTTCACCAGACCTAAGCAACCAGCCTGAAATTTCAAATATTATATCTTGCCCTAGATAACAATTTTCTGCAAAGTTCAAGATGGAGGGAGTGGGCAACCAGTAAAAGCCACATGGGGTACAAGAAGTTCAGTATTGGGATATGAAAGGAAGAGCCATATGTAAAGATGGGATACTGCCTTGAAAGGGTCCTTCTGCCTATTGATTTTAGAATCCATCTGAATTCCTTACCCCACTTGCAAGACTCATCAAGGTCCTGTACACCTGGCATATTCTGCAGGGACTCCTGTCACTGAGCAATTCTTGAGTATTTTAATCTAAGGGGACTTCCAGGTAAAAATCTTTTAACGTCCAGTTAAGGTGTCATGACACAATTTTTCACTTGACTTGGAAAATTCTTGAGAACAATGTAGTGTATTCAGGAAACACAAACGTTAGAGCCTACTAATGCTAAGTGAAGATTCCACATTATTTAAAAACAAAACAACCTATTAAACTTTGGAAATTAAGCACAGGTAAGGTCAGCCCCCCATCATCCCTTCTAATCTGAAGGTTGGAGAAAATGCTGTACTTGTAATGTCTGTCAATGGAAGACTGAAAATCTGAGTGATTTTCATTTACCATGCAAAAATTAAACTTCATGACGTTGGTCAGGTGGAGATTATATACACTAGTTTGGTGTACAACAAAATTTGTATAATTGTCAGGACATGGAATCTTTTTAAACAGGAGAAAAATGACGGTACTCATGCTATATGTCTTGCAAAGAAATACGGAAGTACTCTTCTAGTGATAAATAAGGCCAGACTCCCTTCAACTACTGATTGTCATGTACTATAAAGAGTGAGGGTTGAGTGTGAAGAGATGTGATGTGGATGGAAATGGTAGAATCTGTCCTGGTAGCATCACTCTGAGAATAACTTGAGTTAAGAATTTGTGAGCGACTTGACACATTCATTTTGCATTAGACCCTTCAGTTTGTTGACTTTTTTTTATAAAATAGAATCTTAGTTTTGGAGTTACAAAGCTTTCTAATGTCTGGTGGTTGGTTTGTTTTTTGAGAAAAGTATAATGTTCTCAGGGGGTGGGGCAATGTTTGGAATGAACGAATGAGTCTTTTTCCAGTTCAGAGAATTTTACCTTGAACTGTTGGGCTTGGAAACTTAGTAAATACAGATTAATTAACTTCCATGCAGTTTTATAAACAGGTTGTAGACAACATTTTCCTAACAAACCTGCAAAAATCCGTTTAGCTCTGTCATTCAGTCTCACAGGAAATTCGAAAAGCCCTGACTAGTCAAACATCCAACCACTAACCTGACAGATACTGAATTTGCTGTTACTTACTAGTGCATTTACTCTAAGAGTTCATTTTTGAGTATACCGTTCCAGACTGTTTTCAATACTGGAAAAAAAGATCTGAATTTATTTTTACGAAGTACAGTATTTAAAATATATTTGAACACCCTTGGTTTTTAATGATTGGAAGCATCAATGACTTGTATCATTAATGGAAATAGTTTCAACCAGCAAAAATGCACACATCATTAGTATTTAATGTGTGAAACGGCTTATTTCTAAAACTGCATGTCTGTCTTACATAAAATGATTTAATCTACACTGACAGTTTCAGTTGTGACATCAAAGTTAAGTGATTCAAATTATTCCATTTTTTAATCTTCAATTTTATTCCAAGGGTCTTATTTTGCCATCAGTATCCTCTAAATTGTCCACTGACTTCAGTGGAAATATTTCCTGAAAACTAATGATCCTAAAATGGTTTCATTATATTACAGTATTTGCTATATCACATAGCACAAACATTGTAGTCTTATGTAAGTATTTGTTCTGGATAATTAGAATTTTTTTTCCTATGTCAAAACACCCCGAAATATTCAGTCCTTAAAGAATGAATATAGGGAATGTGGACTGGAGGGAGTATATTTTCCAGTTTCAGAGTTTAATCTGCATGATTTTATTGCGTTAAATGAGATTTGTACAGTCACAACACCATACAACACTTACCCTGTCATTGAAAAGTGTTTATAGTACCATTAAGCTGAGCCACCTATGATGAGGTTGAATGAAAGCCTGTGATACAAGTCCGCAGTTAAAATTAATTCACTGCTACTAAAGACAGTTGTAAGAGAATGATTAATCTGTGACTTAAAATGTAGGTGTCTATTTCACTTTCCCAATTTTACTTTTTATCCTTCTAGTACATATTTGTTTTTATTATCATTATAATCATCATCATCATTACTGAATTCTAGGTTTTTGTGTAATTTAAGAGTATACTTTGATTTCACGGTGAGCAAGACTGAGAACAATGGAGTATTACAGTGCAACATTTTCTGTCCTAAGAATTCAAAAATCCTGAGTCCAACCCCAAAATAGCATGAGACTTGCTTGAAAATGTTCAGTTAAAAAAATTGCTCTGTTTATTGGTTTGCCTTCTGTCTTTTTAATCCTTTAAGGGGGGCAGCCCCATCTCTTTCTACACTGTGTGTGATTGTTTCAGGGTAATAATGCACACACAAGCATAGGCCACCAGCTGTTTTGAGGGTGACTTCAGTTGCCCATTCCAGCATTGAGGAGGGTAATTGCCATTTTATTCAGCACCATTCTCCCCATCATTGTTCTGACTCCCTCCCAATTCTCTCAGCCTTTCCCGCAGTCTCCTGCTCAAAACCCCACTGCCAGTCTCCTGTTTATTTTACATTTCTCCTGCTCCCTATGCTGTGCCTCACTAGCCACCTGTACATTCTTCCTGACTGCTCTCACTCTGCATTCCCATGTCCCACTGTCTCCTGTCTTTGGGTAAATACTGACTGGGCCTCTAAGCTGAAGGCTGGCTGGCTTTAAACCCAAGGAGAACAGTTGATGTGGTGGCCTCTTGTGTAAAACATGAGGAAGGAGACCTAGCTTTTTCTGAGATTGTAACGAGTTGTGTTTTGGTTTGGTTTTGGTTTTTTAAAGAAATACTTACTATTGCAAGACTTGAGAAAGCATAAAAGTTGGAAACTCTGCTGTTGACTTCAGTGGAAGCAGGACTGGGTTCTGTTGGGTTTTCTTTATATAAGCACATTCAGATTCTATGTAAAATATATGCCACTTAAATATTCAGAGTGTTTATTTTGTAGGAAGCATTTAATGGAGAAGGTGCTGTATACTTTACAGAGATTGCTAACTAGAGAGCTGTCAGATAAATGTGTGTTTTCTTTGTAGGCTTCTTAATCATTCGACCTCAGTAAGCACAAGAAACAGGCCAAAGCAGACCGTGGAATCTGAAAAAAGGTATTAAGAAATTTTTAGCGCTTTCTTTCATAGTACTGAAATAAGATTTTTTTTTTTTTTGTGGTGAACATTTTATACAGAATAGAGAAGGAACACTGAACAATGAGGACTGAATTCTTCCCTTGAATGTTCATGAATAACTCTTATTGACTTTTGTGGGAGCCTCACACTCCTTCCAGTGACAAAATTTGGATGTGAAATACAGCTGTTGGAATAATAATACCAGAGCACTTTTTAGCTGTTCTGGGGTTGTGGTGGTGGTCTCCTTCAAGAAATTATTTTTTGTTTAATTCTGGTATAATATGATCATTAAGACATTTTACAGCAATGTATTTTTCTGTAGATCAGCTTTTTTCACACCATGAAACATGATATCAGAAAGTTCTTATTCTTTCAGCCATGAGTTCATAAAATGATTAGTATTCCAGACCGCTACATACCCTTTACTGTATCGCTACTCTACTGGGTGACCTTATCTGCCTTTTGTGATGAGACACCCAAACTTTACTTATACCAGTTTTGATAAAGGGGTATGTTTTTTTTAGGAAACAAAGGCCAGAGTTGCTTGGTGTCTGCTAACACCACCCTCTGACTCATGGTCCCCAGCAGCAGAAAACCAATCTGAGGGAGGTGAGGGATTCAGCAGAGTAAGGTTCTTACAGCTGTGAGTCTGGTTGAGGAGCTGATTCAATGGAAAACTTGGGGGTTCAGCAGCTAGCAGGGAGGCCTGCTCTTCCCAGGCTTGATTTTTCTCTCCACTTGGTCCCTGGTGGGCACAGTGAGGTGTGCAGTTTGCACTTCCCTGCACCATTGGGGCTGAATTGAATTCTAGTATCTTACCTAAGTATCTAACATTCGTGTGGTTTGGGTTGCTCAGATTCCATGGCTGAAGTTCAGTTATAAATTGAAGAATTTTGTTCTATAACACTAAAAGCTTACACCAGTTCCTCTGATAACGCATGTTTGAAATACTTGGGAATGAATTGCATAGTTCCCTTTCACTTATTTCTTTCTGTGAATGATATGTGCCTACTATATGTTGTAGTAACATCCAAGATTATTCTGACAGAAGTCAGTGAAAATATTTTTATTTTTCATTTTGTTTACTTGGCGCATTTGGCAGGTTGTGTGTAGAATCAGTTTCACTGTTTGCCCTCTTTAGTCAGTTTGTCTGTTTCTTTCTAGTTGAAAAGAACAGATAAAAGGTAAAAATTTTATAAGGCATTTTAAGGAAAAAACTCAGAACGCTCTCTTTAAAACAAATTCTTTTGACAGGGCACCCTTTCAGTTTGCCAATTTTAAAAGAAATGCAAGTTGATCGTGTCCCTTAGTTTTGTTTAATTTTGGCATGTCCCTAATGTGAAAAGCTCTCTCGGCCATTGAGTTTAATTTACCAGTTTTATTCTTTGAAATATAGTCAGGTTAGTTTCTTATCTATATTAGGAATAACTTGGGGGTAGGTGTGGAATTTCTCACTTTGAACATTTAAGTAGAACTTGAAAAAATTAGTTTTGGTGTTTAACTTAAACTGTTAGTAATTTGAAAAACACTTCTGTATGGTGTAAACAGTGCATTTCCAAGTTATTTAAGCATTAAAATTGAGCAGTAAACTGAAAGCAAACTTTTTTTAATCCTAAATTTTTTTTTTCTAGGGATACTGTTGGTTTGCTAGAGTTCTTTAATGGAGGTTTTTGCTGTTTGCGGCTGCTAATAAACATTTCCCAACTGTAAATAGTCAGAAGCATCAGGAGTGGAAAAGCTACTCTGCAAATCATATCAGTGAATAATGCCAAATCCTAAACCCAGCTAGGGGAGAGCACAATTACTTGGTATATTGAGGAGCGATCATGGGGGGGAAGGCCCTCTTCATAAGTAGATTTTAACTAGCATCTTTTTGTCTGTGTTTGAACCAGTCCTAGGTAGAGGACCAATAGATATAGATATTCTATTTCTAAGAAACAAATTTGTCAGATACAAACTTCCCTTTTAATGTCAGAGGGAACCGTTTTGAACAGTAAAATTAGAGCCCCCGAGTCCTAATCCTTTGTCTGTGACAACATAATCCTCTCCTCAGCAGCCTAGTCTGTAACTAACAGGATTTACTTCAAGTAAGGAATAATCAACACAAGTAGATGGAACTTAAAAACAGGATCTTTGTTTCCTATTAAATACTTGCAGTAATAAATGGAAAGGCAGAAAGGAAATAGATATACAAATAAAATTTTCTCTAAATATAATTGTTTTTCAATGCTTTCTATTCAGATTGGATTTCCTTGGTGAATAGGTCTATAAATGATAAATACATATTTCAGTGATTTAAAAATTGTGTATGATGTATCTCACACAGGACTGGTTCCAAGCATCTTAACGTATATTGTACCTTTTTCAAAAGGCACATTATCCATGTCTAAACCAAAAATGAGTTCTTACAGGGTTCACTCACTGCTGGCAGCGCCACCTGCTTGCATCCTGGGGATTAGGTCTGGCCAGGCCTTGTGCCCTCCCCTGGTGGTGTCTCTTCCTTTGTCCTCTCGCCCTGCGAACCCCTCTCACTCCAGGAACCCCAGCCTCCTCTTCATGACTCGGCCCCTCTGGCCAGGTCACCATACTTGTTTCCTGCCGGCCCCACCCCACCCCCCCCAGGTTATCAAAGTCCTTCTTGAAAAATGGGTTCAGGCAGTTTTCTTACTCACTGCCCCACTGGTGCCATTTCATCAGTGGCTGGTAGGGGGACCTGGATATGCCCTCTACTCTGGGTCCCGGCTCAGGGGCCCTGTCATCGGCAGCCAAGGTTTGACCTATCCCATACCTCGCTGCTTTTCCCCTGAGCCTTGTCCTACTTTCCTAGCTTCCCCCCTTTCGGGTTTGCCAGACTCCCAATTCCCTCTTCCCAGGGAGTGACTTTGGACTATCCTCTATAGCAGTGATTCTCAAACTAGGGCCGCCGCTTGTTCAGGGAAAGCCCCTGGCAGGCCGGGCAGGTTTGTTTACCTGCCGCATCTGCAGGTTCGGCCGATTGCGGCTCCCACTGGCAGCGGTTTGCTGCTCCAGGCCAATGGGGGCTGCGGGAAGGGCGGCCAGTACGTCCCTCGGCCCGCGCCGCTTCCTGCAGCCCCCATTGGCCTGGAGCGGCGAACCTTGGCCAGTGGGAGCTGCAATCGGCCGAACCTGCAGACGCAGCAGGTAAACAAACTGGCCCAGCCCGCCAGGGGCTTTCCCTGAACAAGCGGCGGCCCTAGTTTGAGAACCACTGCCTATAGTCCGAACCACACCTCCCTTCACCCAGACTACTTCTGACTACAGACTACTTCCATGCAGTCCCCTCTGTTGCAAGCTTCCTGGATTATATAGGCCCCACCTGTTCCTGCCCATCTGAGCTCCCTGTCTCCTCCAGGTGCAGCCTGGGCAGTTAATTGGCTCACTTAGCCATCTTAACCCTTCCAGGCCTTTCATTGTGTGAACGCTCCATGCCAGGATCGCTTCTGGTTCATTGGTTATGTGCACTGCTGTTTTTCCTCCTCAGATTTTCTAATGCAATTAAAATTAGGAGTTTAACCAAACCTATAATGGCCCTCAGTAGAAATTTTGCAGCCTATTTCCCAAACTGCAGCTTGTGACATTTATAGAATTGCTCCCCAGAACAGTATTGTAGAAAGATCATATATCTCATGCCTATTTTTAAATCTACCTGCTAAAAGTCTTGGCAGAGTATTAAGCGACTTTGTAGCTGCTGCAGTTACCTTAGAAATAGCACCTTGTCATCAGAAATGATTTGCTGCTTTTTTATCCTTCACTTTCTGTTGTGTTGTATGCAGTGATGTCATATTGTATGATGCAACATCATAATCCAGTTGCCCACTTCTGAGCCACACTACGGCCCCTGAGAATTTATGTACCAGCCTGTTTCAGGCCTAAGGCCTTGTGTGGCTGTGCTGAACATCTTACAGGCCTGAGTCACTACATAAATTAATACTTAGGGTATAGAGGGGAATTATACTTGATATCTTTTATTCTTGGTTACATCTGTAAGGCAACAACTTTGAGTAATCTACTGACCTTTGTCAAACACTATGTCTTGTGTAAGATGCCAGGTTCAGGAGGGCAGTACTAAAATAGCTGTTTAACTTGTGCAGCTGAAATCCTTCTTCCCACAATCCTGAAGGAGTGCTGCTTACCAGTCACCACAGAGGAATCCGCATACTCAGGGAACAGTTACATACTCTACAACAACTGGTTCTTATCAATGTGTATCCCACAACCCATCCTCCGTTCCCATTTTCCAGAGTCCCCAGCTTCCACAGGCTTTGAATTGCAAGGGAAATGAGAGAAGGCTGCAGCCGCTCTGCCCTTTATGTCACCGCTCAGGAGCCCAAGGTGGCAAAGGGTGCATGCGTTGCCCCAACAGATGCTGCTATTTAAAAAAAAAAAAAAAAAAAAGTCTCGCATTCATGAGGCACATGCACATCTACTATGGGATCCACACTGACTGCAACTCCTTGGTAACAGGGCAAGTAACAGATTATTGTTGTTTATTTGTATTGCAGTAACATCTAGGAGCCCCAGCCATAAACCAGGAACCTATTGTGCTAGGCGTGGTAAAAACACAGAACAAAAAGACTGTCCCTGCCCTGAAGACTTTACTGTGCTGTAGCCATGTGGGTTCCTGGATACTAGAGAGACAAGGTGGGTGAGGTGATATCTCTTCTTGGACCAGCTTCTGTTGGTGAAAACGAGAGGCTTTCGAGTTTACCAGGAGGTCTTTTTCTGGTCTGTGTAAGCTCAAAAGTTTCTCTTTCACGAACAGAAGTTGGTCCAATAAAAGATATCCCCTCACCTGCCTTGTGTTTCTGAAGAATTTAAGCAGGCAAAACCTTCATTGTGGTCAGATCTGACTATGTAAGAGCTGCAGGATTGATTACTTACATTGTAGTAGCATCTAGAGGCCTCAGCCAAATTGGTCCCCAATGTAACATGTTCCATTCAAACATAGAGAAAATAGTCCCTAACCCCCCAAATGCTTACAGTCTAAAAAATAAGGCCTGTCAGGAAAATGAGAGAAATAAGGAGAGTGAGCTTGAGGAAGACAGAAACAAAATAACAGGATATGCACAGTTCTTACGCAGTAGGAGCCGAAATCACAAGTTGCTACCTGTCTAACTGGTAGATGACTCTAAATGTAACCCACTGTTTGGTGAGTGCTATGTATCCCTCCCTGTGCAAAGTCCTCAGAAGGGAGGATCTCTTGCAGCCCACAGCTACTGCATCTGGTTCTTCAGCTCATGATGGGACTCATGCTTTCAGCTCTGGAAGTCCCTGGTTCGCTCCTCAGTGTCAGCCAAGATGGTTGCTGGTAAGCATTACTGAAGCAGTGAGTTTTAAGTAGGAGATTTGAAGAAGGATTTTGTTCAAAGAACTTAAACTTTTTAAGCTCATTTTTTGAATTGAATAATACAAGTAGTTTCAAGTACTATATCTACCCGTTGGTCCCCCTGTGAACTTTTGAGTTTCTACAATTTAATTTTCCTCTCTTCTAAAACATTTCTCTGCCCTATTGCTGTGTGAAGGACCCCCACACACAAAAACTGACCGTACAGGGCAAACAGTGAAACTGACTATATACGGGGCTGTTGCAGTCACAAAGTAAAAACTCTGGAAACGATAGAGAAATTGTTACTCAGAACTTCCAGTTGTAGTAATCTTATTTGTTCGTAATATTCAGTTAAAAAAAAAAAAGCGTGTGCGCTTAAACTGAAAGTACCCTTTTAAAATGGCATTAGAACAGACTTTAGTTTTACTGTTAATTTTGAATAAAGTGTGTATCTGGTTCTTGAAGAAAGGAAGTAACTGAATTCCACAAGTAATATTTTAAAGATTAATGTTATCCAGTTGTAGTATGTATTGGCAATAAGCTTGGAAAATGGTAAGCATAGTATGCTAAAACTATAAAGGAGCTTGAAATGGATCTGGATGCAAAAATCTCAAATTTCATTACATTTTAATCAAATGCTCATAAAATTACTTTTGACAGTATTGATTATAAAATTGTTGGGCAACACACAAGACATCAAAACAGTGTTCATAATATGTATTTTTAACACTGATTCAGACCTCAAAAAATCCGCTTACAATATCAAATTTCTATATTAGTCTAAAATATTTTGGAAGTCTTGCTGTTAGTGTGTAAAAAGTAACAACATAGTTAATAAAACCAAGAAAATACATATTCAAATAGTTTTTGTGGTTTTTTTTAAAGTGTCTCAACAGATGAAACAAATTCTCCAGTGTCTCCTTACAGATGGCAGGTAAATATGTGCATGTAAAACTATATCACCTTTATTAGCCCTTGATAATCATTTCATCCATGGATGTGCTACTGGTGTAGCATAACTTGCATAGTGTTTGTGTTCACAGATGTATTTGTTTTCAGGTACCAATAAATGTATGTACATAATTGTGGTCGCAAATGTAAAGTTAATCTAAAAATGTCCCTCTTCATTTTGTATTGCATCTTTAATACAGGCTTCATTTTTTTTTCTTTCAAATAATGCTTATATGAATTTAAGATCTATGTACTACTTCTAAGGCATTATGGGTCTTAATTTCGCCCTACTTTATTCTTGTATAATTTCTTTGTCTTGTGCGTAACAGATTTTTCTGTTTTCTCAGTTTTTAAATAGTCCTTATATTGTAGATCTCTTGTTTTTGCTTTTTATTCCTGGGTAGGAAACACATCAAAGTGCTGTGAAATGTTTGTGATCAAACTCAAAATGTTTGGTTGTAGATTTCAATTCAGTGTTTGTTTTATGTTCATTTTATGGTGCCCTTAGGTGGTAATACAAAGACAGCTTTAGAAATGTAGATTGATTTATATGCATTGTCCTTGTAGGTAAATATTTCCTTTTGAATCATCTTTCTTTATATTTAGTGGATATGAGAACGTTTAATTATTTAAATTCACTGATCTTTTATGAATAAGCCTTTTATTGTCTCCTTCAAATTATTATATTAATTTACATGTTGTAAAGATGGATATTTAGATAGTGCCATCTATTGCATACATTTCATTGTAGGTGGGAGTCACGAGAAAATGCTTTTTAAAAAAAGAATATCAGTGGATAACTGACCTGATGTGTAAAATTATACACACCTCAATTTGCATGCACAGTGACTCGCTGTGTGCTCAAATAGGGTAATTACACATGAATAGCTGGTCACAAATCTACCTTTCCATTTGCATGCCTATTAGTGGTAAGTGTATACAATTTCAGTACATGCTAATTTGTGAAAATCAGGCCCAGCATGGATAATGAAGAAAGCTGTGGTTTTAAAAAAAAATTAACAATTTAAGGCCATCATTAAACTTACACTCTCCCCCATATATAACTTATTTTAGAGTCTTGAAATGTAAGAAGTGCTGTCTGTAGAAGTGACCTGTATCAGAGATTGGTGGAATTACAATGCTGCAAAACTGAAGTGTAACAGAGGCAAATAAGGCCCAAGATAAATAGTATTTCTAGTTAAACCAGCTTTTCTGTTCAAATTTACCTCTGTAATATAATTTCAGTGTCCTCATAATCCAGGCTAATGTTTAATGTTTAAATACTTGCTGTCTAAAAACGTTGTTGAACTTTGCAGCCACTAGAAAACCAAAAGGATCTGACAGATGAGCAGCACTGGCCAGAAACACAGCCTGTTATCTGGCAGAATGAAGAGAGGAGGAGGAGCAAACAAGTTAGAAAGGAATATTTCAAGGTATTGTATACTTATTTTTTCATTTGCTGCCTCTTTTCCCTCTTTGAAGAACTAATGTTTCTAGTTACAACTTGAGCACCTTTTCTGTATCCTAAAGGAAGACAATGTCTTTAGCTTAATTATCACCAGACTAGTATGATACAAACTGATACATTTATCTTCTGGTTCACTCTCTGCTGCAATTTGTAGAAGTAAGTGTGTGTATATCGTCTAATCAAATACATATTAACAAACAATATTTTGAAATACTGTCTTTTAGGCATGAATCATTAAAATACTATGGGCTTTATTTCTCTTTTGTAAGATACACAGGTGGGTTTTCTTGGGTAACTAAATGAAGGGGCCTGATGGGATAGCATTCTCTTCTAACTTGCACGTGAGTTATATTCTGCGTTGGTTCAATCCTGTTAGATTAATACATATGCTTCCAGGGCAATTTGAGAGTGCAGGAAAACTGGAAACATTTAGCTGAGTGAGGAAATGCTTCTTATTTCTCTTATCTTCAATAGCAAATGTAAACTTAAAACTGTGTTCTGAAGGCAGAGAATAAAACCTAACCTAGAAACCTTCCAAACATCCATCATTTCTTCTCTTCTTCCCCCCACCTCAGGATTAAAACCACAAAAAAATGCAAAACTATTTTAAACAAATGTTGATGCTCAATTTGGTATTTTTGCAGTCTAAGAAAGATATACAGTACATCTTAAATCAGTTGCCATATCCTAGTACAGTATGCTAATATCACCCTTACATGTTTGATTTAGTAACTATCTTACTGCATTAACTTGAGGGTGAGAGAGAGGAAATACTCTGAAATTATTTCCGTTTGTTTGCAATGTGTACTAATGGTCACAAGATGTCAGTGTCCGCATGATGCAAAATAGGCACAAGATCACAGGCAACAGAGCAGAAGTCAATTTTTTTCCCAACTTCTGTAGATAATTGTGGTGTTTTGTGACAAGCTTCAGATTAGGCCTTCTATCTATAAAGATATGACAGCTTTAACAGTGTTACAGAAGATCTAAATAAACTGAATCCAATAGCAAATTTCTTTGAGTGCAGGTGCCTCTGTATATTCAACTGAATACATATTTGCTCCATCCTCCTGAAACTGGAAAATTATTGCAAATAGTGTCAGTTAGTCCACACCTGTGCCCCTATTCTCCTCATTCTCCACACTGAGGAGATAAGGGGTGGGGCTGACCGACCGCCTCTTCAGCTCTTTCTTAGCACCGCATGGCCTGAGTCAGAATCCTCCAATGTCCAGAGCTGATACTTTGATATAATTTTTTCATTTTATTTATTGTTATTTGGTGTTCATTAGTTAGTGTTGGATTCCCCAACGTGAGATTCTTTCCAGTCTCCCAGCATGGGACTTAGATTATGCCTAGGATACCAGGTTTCAAAAACCACGTCTCCTCCCGTTGCTCCTTTTGGGCCAGTGACGATAACCATACTGCCTCTACTGCCTTGGAGAAGCTCATGTCTCCATTAAATGCAATATCTGCTGTGCTTTTCTGCGAGAACTTTGGCTTCGGAAGCACTTTATGGAATGCAGCAAGGCTCCAGTCAGGCCCAGGCTGGGGAGACCTCCCTGTACATCATCCAGAACTGGCAAGGAGTGTGTCCCCTAGTCCTATATGTGACTCTGGAGCAAAGAGGGGGAAAGGGAAGGTCTCTTTACATAGACTATCCGGTTTGGCCAATATACATGGCAGAAGGGCATTGCTGGCACATGATGGCATATATCACATTAGTAGATGTGCAGGTGAATGAGTCCCTGATGGTGTGGCTCATGCCCAACAAGGAAAATAACAGAACACCACTGGCCATTACGTACAGCCCCCAGCTAAAACCTCTCCAGTACATCAACGATTTACAGCCTATCCTGGAAAACGATCCCTCACTCTCACAGACCTTGGGAGACAGGCCAGTCCTCGCTTACAGACAGCCCCCCAACCTGAAGCAAATACTCACCAGCAACTACACACCACACCACAGAAACACTAACCCAGGAACCAATTCCTGTAACAAACCTCGTTGCCTACTCTGTCCCCATATCTACTCTAGCGACACCATCAGAGGACCCAACCACATGAGCCACACCATTGGCCAAAACAGTCTCTATGTAAAAGAATAAATGGACACAAATTGGACATCAGGAATGGTAACATACAAAAGCCAGTAGGAGAACACTTCAGTCTCCCTTGACATTCTACTACAGATTTAAAAGTAGCCATACTTCAACAAAAAAACTTCAAAAACAAACTTCAGAGAGAAACTGTTACCTGAGTAGAGCCCCGTAGTGCTTCGGTTTACATCAGTGAATATGTGAATTTGCTTTCCGTCATATGTCTCATATGAGATCTCATGTTGGCGTTACTGTCGAGAGAAAGAGAAAAGCCCTTTTCACCCTGCAACACATCCAGGCTATTAATTACATTTCTGTATTTCATAACTAACCATCACATTGTCATTCTGGATATAATTCTTTGCATGGTTAAATCAGTGGCCTCTTCAGAAAAGATTACTTGCTCAACCGCTATGGTGTCATCTGGAAAGTGACTGTGAAAACTTCTATGCCTGTAGTATTATATGGCTACTGAACACGATTTCTGAGAAGATGGTGTTGTGGAGATGACATAGCTCATTGATCTTACTCATCTTCTTTCTGTGTGGTCCACTACCTATGTGAATGGAGTCTGGCTTTCTCAAGGCACTAGTTGCACAGAGTACTTCCTAGTTTGGTGGTATGCAATTTAGGATTATATCTTCTTAATGTGCTCTTTTTTGCTTTCCATTCACATTTGCTTTATGGCCAGTGTAACTGTTTGTATGGCCCTTAGCTGAAATGACCATCAAAATTGCAAAAATGGTACTGAGAAAAACTTTTAATAGACTAAAACATACAGTAAATGGGTAGTCAATATTTCTTTTTGTTTTGTGCATTCATTGTGGCCCGAGATCTCATTTAATGTACACCATTCAAACCAGGTCTAAATACAAAATTATTAATTTTCTCATCGGTGTTTCCTGTGATGCTATCATCATAGTATCTGAGTGTTTCTCAAACTTTAATGAATTCAGCTTCACAATATGCCTGTGAGATTAGGTGATGTTGTTATTCCAATTTTACAGTTGGGGGATTTAAGCATAGAGAGATCAAAGCTAAAATTGTTGTCTCCTCTAATTTTGGATGCCCAGCTTAAAACACCTAGGTTCTGATTTTTCAGTATACTTGGTATTTTGATAGGACTGTGTATGCTCAAAGTACAGTTCACGCTGACTTCAGTTGCAGCTTTGTGTGCAGAGCACTTCTGCACATTAGAACCATTTATAGCTGAAATTAATATATTATATATCAGACTGAGATAGACGCCTAACATGGGAAAACTTCAGCTCAAATTGATATACCTCTTGGGTGGGGCTGGAAGCACTACCTATTATTAAGGTTGCTCTATCATTGCTATTATAAGATCCTGTTTTCAGTAGCTTATAACTTGGGCCAAATTTTTAAGTCAGGCTGTAATTTTCCATGCCAGATGTCTTCCGTAAGCTGATGTTTTTTTAAAAAAAATTGTAGCTAAAATGTTTGTCATTTCAAAGAATGTTGCTTTGCCCATGTTATAAAATTCTGGTGACCCTTTCTTTAAAAAATCTCTAGGGCTGCTGCTTTGGAATAGGTACTTGAAATTTTACAGGATGATGGCCTTTGTGTCCAGGATGTGCCTTTTGCTGTCCCCATGAAAATCTGCCCAAATTTGGGCAAATTATAAGCCTTTGAAAAATTGCAGTTCACACTTGCTCAGTAGAGACATCTTCAGTTTTAGCAGCTAGAAGCTCCAAAGGTGATCTCTGCACTGAGCATGCTCCAGCCCAGGGCTGAGCAGGTCTGAGGTCTGAGCGCCTGAACTAAGAACAGGGATGCTGTCTTCTGTTTCCTCATAGGACCCATTCCTCAATCAGTGCATAGGATGGACCCTGTGGGGATGAACCAGGGTTGTCTAGTAAAGGAAGCGATTGTCTGTAGGTCCCAGGCTTCATTTGTTCCAGAAGTTTAGAGGTGTGTAGTGAATGAGGCAGAAGATTGCAGAAAGAATGGTCTCATAATTAAGGCAGTTGAATTCTGCCATTAAGAATTTAATGGTTTTCGGCCTTTGACCTACAGGACGCCTTGTTTCATATAGTGATACATCCCGTACACAGGAAATACCTGCACTCTGGTATCATGGGCCAGGATCATTTTCAATATCTAGTACTTCCCTTTGACCTCCCTTCAGCCCCAAAGGGGTTCTTAAAGCTTGTAGTGGTGGTGTCAGATGTTGGCTGCGTGAGTCTGTTCTTACAGTGCTGTCCTAGCTCTGCGCAGATGGCAGACACAGCAGACCTAGATAGAACTGCCCAATAAGACCACAAGGCTTGGTTTAGTAGCGAAGGCACCCGGCCAGGTTTATTGCCGATGAAGCATGGTCCTAGCTCCCGGGACCAATGTCTACAGTTACACTAGCACATGTATGCCCATGACAATGGACCAGCTCAATCAGTGGTGGGACGTTCCACTGCCCCCTAGGCCAGACAAAGACACTCCCTCTAAGATCCATCTTTATACACCAGTACAAACAAGTTGCGTGTTGCCCCTCAGACGTAGTTAGTTACTGCTCAATGACGTGTTTTGTTACCACCCATTACCTTGTATATGTTGATTCAATCAAAACATCTCTGTCCATCACACTGTCATCCTGACCTTATCTCTAAGAGGGGGTCAGTGTATCCTTGTATCATCTTCAGGGAGTGTGTTCATACTATACTTGGTGTCGGGATGTTCTAGTACCACCCTTCTGGAATGTGCTTGCGTGAGTGTCCTGTACCTAGCACTTGGGAGTGTGCATGTTTCTGCAATACCAGCCCTGTTCTTGCCAGGTTCTGTGAGCCTGCACACAGGCAGAGCCTGACTTTTGCTAACTTTGCTTTATATTAGCAAGGCTTGACCACTACTTTTGTTCAAGTCTTAGGCCTCATAATGGGCTTCTGATACAAGGCCTCTTGTCTCAGGCTCTCTTTCTACTACAAGTGGGGCTGGCTGCTTATCTTCAGCAAGAAGCAACTTTAGTCTTCCTGTATCTGAAAAGTCAAGGCCCAGTCTTACAAAGCAGTGCTGATTTCCACCCAGACAGCTCTCTCCCTCTTCCAGAATTGGGTCTCCAGCTAAATGTAAAGAACTCCAAATTATCCCATTTCAGTTCTGACACCTTATCAAGGGTAAATCAATCAGAATCACTTACAGATAATGTGGCTTGCATGTTCTGTATCAGTAAACAGGAAGGCGCAAGATCCCCTTCCCTGTACACCGAAGCTATACAATTATGGAACTGCTGTATAGTCCATCAGCTTCAGATATTATCCGGTTTCCTGGAGTCCAAAATGTCAAAGCCTGTTGCTCAGCAGGCGCGCCTCCCAGGACTACGAATGGGAGTTGAACTCTCAAATCCTTCATGGAATATTCCAGAGGTGGGGACTTCCACAGATGGACCTATTCACCACATCCCACAACAGGAAGTTCCTCTTATTCTACTGAAGAGGAGGTCTAAGTCGCCTCTCTTTGGGAGACACCTCTATGCTTCCTTGGACAGAGGACCTGTTCTACACATTCACTCCAACACTACTAATGCTAAGAATGATGAACAAGATCAGGCAAAACAAGACCAGGGTTATCCTTGTAGTGCTGACCTGGCCGATATCACAAGCTTGATATCTTTACCTGCTTCACCTGTGTATCCAACTGTCGCTCAAGCTTCCAACGGTCCCTCATCTCCTCTCTCAGGATGCAGGTCATGTGCTTCACCCCCAACCTAGAGGTCCTCCATCTCTAGGCATGGCTCATGGGATTAAAATCCACCTGCTCGACAGGAGTACAAATATTACTAAACAGTAAAAGGGAGTTAACTCTAATTATTTACCTTCAGAAATGGAAGAGGTTCAACCGCTGGTATCACCATCACCGCCTTGTGCCCGAATCTTCTCCTCCATCAGCCATATTCAATTATCTGCTGGATTTAAAAAATCAGGTGTATCTATTCGCTCTATTAAAGTTCGTTTCACTGCAATATCAGCTTTTAATTCCTCTCTAGAGGGGTTTTCTATTTTTGTGCACTTAATGTCATCGAGATTTATTAAGGTCTGGGTAATCTTCATCCACATGTTAAGGATCCTGCTCAGACTTCAAATCTCAACTGGGTACTTAGATACCTTATGGGACCTCTATTTTAATCGATAGCGACCTGCTCCTTGCTTCACTTATCTATGAAGATGGCCTTTCTAGTAGCTGCTATGTCAGCCCTCAGGGTTGGAGAAATTGGAGCCTTGATGGTAGACCCCCACACGATATTTTTCAAGGACAAGGTCTCTCTGTGACTGCACCCAAAGTTCTTACCTGAGGTGCTGTCCAATTTCCATTTAAACCATCTTAACCAGTGTTTTTTCCTAAACCACATAAATCTCAGCAGGAGATTTCCCTTCAGACATTAGTTGTATGATGGGCATTGGTCTTTTATATGGATAAGACTAAACAATTTCAGAAATCACTTAGACTCTCTGTCTCCATTGCTGAAAGGTCAAAGAAGTGCATGATCTCTTCACGGAGACTGTAGAGATGGATCTCTGGCTGTATTAGTGCTTGGTATGATGCAGCTGGTGCTTTGCCTCCCCAAAGGACTGTAGCACACACTACAAGATCACAAGCAACTTCCACAGCATTACTCAAAAATATTCCAGCATCTGAGATATGCAGAGGTGCTACATGGGCTTCAGTGCATACCTTTCTCAACCCTATGCATTAGTTCACGCCATCAGATCTGATGCAGCACTTGGTTCTGCTGTACTGTCTTCGATCTTGGACTTGATTCCGAAGCTCACTCCCCCCCAGTGAGTACACTGCTCGGGAGTCACCTGAAGTGGAGCACCCATAAGGACACTACTCAAAGTAGTAGTTACGCAGTAACTTTGGTTCTTCGAGATGTGCGTCCCTATGGGTGCTTCACTACTGCCCTCCTTCCCCTCTGCTTCAGACTGTTCTTGTTGGGCATTCAGATACCGAAGAATTGAGGGCAGTTTGCCCGTGTAGCCCTATATGCCCTCAGAGTGTGGCATGAGGTTGTATAGAGCAGTGGTCTCCAAAGTGGGGTGCGCAAGAGGATCCTTGGGCGTGCGCGGCAGGAGGAGCGCTTCCCCCCCCTCTCTTCGTCAGGCGGGAGTCCGAGCGGCTCTTTTATTTTTATTACTTTTTTGCTTCGGCAAAAATGATAGAGTCGGCGCGGCAGGGGGTGCACGCTCAAAAATTTTTTACTGATGGGGTGCGCGATCAAAAAAGTTTGGAGACCACTGGTATAGAGGGCATGAGCAGGCCAAATGGACACTGCTAATGGAAAATCTCTGATCAAGGGCTTGAGAGGTGCATGCGCACCTTACATGGAGCACCCATAGGGACACGCATCTCAAAGAACCACTGTTACTGCACAAGGTGAGTAACCTTTTGTTTTTACTTCTGCAGCACTGCTAGCTTGTCAGCAGCCCTGTGACATAGGTAAGTAATGTGGATGGACAAATGTAAGTAACGTGACCTGCTCGGGATCATGTCAGGAGTTAGTGGCAGTCAGGACTAGAAACTGCTAACTCCCAGCCCCGAGTTCTTCACCATTTAAAAACATTTACTGAATGATGCCCATCTGTCTCGCAATTTGACTGACAGATTCCATTTGGTACAAATGAAACCCATGTTTCCTGTTTAAAAAAACAAAACTTGTTTCTGTTTTGCAGTACAAGACTTCCAGAAAGAGTTCAAGTGGAAATGAAAATGATGAGGTGAGCATGATAGTGGTAAAAAATACTTCAGAAAATTCATTATTTATTTGTATTAGTGTAGCACCTAGTCGTGGACCAGGATCATGCTGGGCTAGGTGCTGTACAAACATCACACAAAGACTGTCCATGCCCCAGAGATCTTACAATCGAAGTATAAAACAAGAGACAACAGTTGCATACAGACAGATGGGAACCCAAGGAAACAATGAGACAATGAAGCATGTGGGGATTTTTACACTTTAGTACCAGTATAGTACCGAACTAGTAATAGTTCAGATATTCCACTGAACAAAGGCAATGTATACACTGCTATATACATACTATACACAATATTAGGTACTTCGGATGAAGTGACTCTTCCACAAAAAGCCTGTTAATATTTCCTTATGCTTTTTGCACCATATTATTTCCATAGCAGCCATCAGCATGAAATGCTAATACTAGGACTGGCAAGAGATTAAAAAAATTAATCGTGATAGATTGCACGATTAATCGCGCTGTTAAACAATAATAGAATGCCATTTATTTAAATATTTTTGGATGTTTTCTACATTTTCAAATATATTGATTTCAATTAAAACACGGAATACAAAATGTACAGTGCTCACTTTATAATTTGTTACAAATATTTGCACTGTAAAAAACAAGAAATAATATTTTTCAATTCACCTACTACAAAACTGTAGGGCAATCTCTTTATCATGAAAGTTGAACTTACTTATGTAGAATTATGTACCAAAAAAACTGCATTCAAAAATAAAACAATTGAAAACTTTAGAGCCTACAAGTCCACTCAGTCCTACTTCTTGTTCAGCCAGTCGCTCAGACAAGTTTATTTACCTTTGCAGATAATGCTGACTGCTTCTTGTTTTCAATGTCACCTGAAAGTGAGAACAGGCGTTCGCATGGCACTGTTGTAGCCGGCGTTGCAAGATATTTACGTGCCAGATGCACTAAAGATTCAGATGTCCCTTCATGCTTCAACCACCATTCCAGAGGACATGCATCCATGCTGATGACAGGTTCTGCTCAATAATGATCCAAAGCAGTGCAGACCAATTCATGTCCATTTTAATTATCTGAGTCAGATGCCACCAGCAGAAGGTTGATTTTCTTTTTTGGTGGTTCGAGTTCTATAGTTTCTGCATCAGAGTGTTGCTCTTTTAAGACTTCTGAAAGTATACTTCACATCTCGTCCCTCTCAAATTTTGGAAGGCACTTCAGGTTCTTAAACCTTGGGTCGAGTGCTGTAGCTGTCTTTAGAAATCTCACATTGGTACCTTCTTTGCGTTTTGTCAAATCTGCTGTGAAAGTGTTCTTAAAACAAACAACGTGCTGGGTCATCATCCGAGACTCCCATAACATGAAATATATGGCAGAATGCAGGTAAAACAGAGCAGGAGATGTACAATTCTCCCTCAAGGAGTTTAGTCACAAATTTAATGAATGCATTTTTTTTTTAACGACCATCAGCAGCATGGAAGCATGTTCTCTGGAATGGTGGCTGAAGCATGAAGGGGCGTATGAATGTTTAGCATATCTGACACATAGATACCTTGCAGTGCCAGCTACAAAAGCGCCATGCAAACACCTGTTCTCAGTTTCAGGTGACATTGTAAATAAGAAGCAGGCAGCATTATCTCCTGTAAATTTTAAAAAAATTGTTTGTCTTAGCGATTGGCTGAACAAGAAGGACTGAGTGAACTTGTGGGCTCTAAAGTTTTACATTGTTTTGTTTTTGAGTGCAGTTATGTAACAAAAAAAATCTACATTTGTAAATTGCACTTTCACGATAAAGAGACTGCACTACAGTACTTGTATGAGGTGAATTGAAAAATACTGTTTTGTTTATCGTTTTTACAGTGCAAATATTTGTAATAATATGAAGTGAGCACTGTACACCTTGTATTCTGTGTTGTAATAGAAATCAATATATTGGAATTTGTAGAAAAACATCCAAAAATATTTAATACATTGGTATTCTATTTAACGGTGTGATTAAAACTGCGATTAATCACCATTAATTTTTTTTAACTTAATTGCGTGAGTTAACTGCCATTTAATTGACAGCCCTAGCTAATACCAAATGCACTCAGGCCTCGCATTTGAAAGTCTGGAGTATAGTAAGTAAAGAGTTAGTGTTACTTTTGAAATTCATTTTTTTGCCCTCCTTTTTTTGTCTTGTCTTTCATTTCTTGTTTATTTAAAGCGAAACCACTGGCAAACCATAATGTTGTCAGTTACCTTTCCAATTGCAAGGTCAGGGTGGCTGAAATATTCTTCCTTTACCTTTTTTGTCTTTTAGCAATATGGAAACACACAAAGCAATCCTTTGGATTATTATAGCAGTTACAGTTCAACTGCTATAGTTACTCAAGTGTGAATTAATAGATGCATCTAAAGTTAAAATCTGGGGGGAAATTGTTCTATAGTGTAGAAAAAGCTGGATCTCAAAGAAAGATCCAGTGACAACTTACATTCTATTTTTGTGACCATCTTTAAAGGAAAACCGCAGTAACTAGTTCTGATCTTTTCCAAAATAATATTTATAGATAAAGGTGTGCTCTGTGACTTAAACATTTTACAACTAAATGAAAGGACTATATTTTAAAATAACATTAGCTTCAAAATGAAATATATCAAATTGAAATGTATTTACTGAATAATAGACTTACGCATTTTCCCATGTATTGAGGTGTTCAAGTTAAAGATGTTTTACAACAGGAAAAACCCTTTGTCAAATTATGGCTGTTGTACGTGTATGTTTAGTTGATTTGCAATTTTTTTAATTTAGTCACTACCACTTTGCCCAACACTTGAGGAAAAAATGTTGCATGTGTCTTTTGTATGCATTTTCATAATTTCATATTATACCTATTCAAAACCATAATTTTCATTTTATAATTTCATCTCTTTGATTTCTTTTTAGCAAGACAGTGATAATACTAATGTGTCCCCACAGTCTCCTGTATCATCTGAGGTACAAGTTTGTGGTTTTGTTTTTTTTTTTCTTTCTTTCAGTGAACATTTTCTGTGTGCGCTAATTTGTTTTCATTGTGGTTCACTGTGCAAAAACATGTAACTCTTGGACAGGTCAGAAAATGTTAATAGGCTTTGCTTTGAAAGAGGAATTGAATTGAAATATTGTGCACTTGTGCAATAATTTAAAAGCAGAAATAAGTAGGAATCAAGGACAGATTCCTTGTTAACTTCCTTAACTTGTCCTGCCTCCACTAGCATCAAATCTCTCGCTCCCTCCGTTTTTTTTTAAAGGTTGGTGTATTAGAAAGCAGCATTTGTTTTCTGCCTCTTACTCTAGCTGATGAAAATAGCTACCGAGAAGGGAGAAATCATAGCTGCCATATTGAACAGAGACAGAGTGCAGGCTACCTACATGTGTAGCATTTTAGAGAGTTTTAAAAACAAGCTATGGTTTGGACCTCAGCGAGTCCATAGAGGAGCCAGAATTGCAAAAGGCCCCCCTCTAATTTAAGGGGATTCATCCCCACAGTCGTGACTGCCTTATGCATCTGTTACCCGGGCAGTGTGGTTCTCTGGTTGTTTGAGGGTTAGGAAGGAAAATGCTTTGTGGCCTGACCATGATGTTTCCCTGGCAGTCAGCTGCATTCCAGTACTGACCCAGGAAGAAAAGACACCCAATGAAGCTGAAGGTTTCCACCCATTGCCAGATAGGGATCATGAGGTAGGAGGCTGCGAGAAGATTCCAAGCACATCAGGGGACTGAAGAGTTGGCATGTCCCTTCGCCACCTTTTGGGATGGGAGAGGCCACTGTCCCAGCTGTTGAAAGTAATTTCTTCTTGAAAAGCAGATAATCCCTCCTGGGTCTGTTTTCCCTCCATTTGAGCTGCAAAAGGGTGTCCACACCAGATCTTGATCTGTATTGTCACAGCAGGGGAGAGACAGACTTGGATTAGTGGCTGTCTACCTGCAAGCTGCTCATTCCACGATTACCTACCCATGCTGTCATTTCCCATTGTTTTGTAAGTGGTTCTGGCCTTGCTTGCACATGCAAGTGGCACCAAGTTAACTAGCATTGGCTTTTATATAGATTTAGTTAAATTGATCCCAGCTTGTGTGTGGATTCCCTTAGTGTTCACAGCTAGCTTATAAATGTGTCCACGCAGAGACTTGCACTAGTTTAAATTGATTTAAAAACAGATTTGAGTTAAACTTGTGCCACTTTTGTGCCTAGAAGAGGCTTATGTCTTTCTCTCATCTGTGGATGGTGAGTCTTCATTCGCTGCTTTCTTATTAAAATGTCTTCCCCCTCATTATAGCTTTTCAACTAAGTTAAAGCAGGTTCTCTTGTTGTAGTCATGGAAACAAAAGTTTAGGGTGTGAAAACTATTTTTTTTTTAATTTTTCATCAAAAATTGGAGAAAATTTGCAGAAAACTTGATATATTATCTCTCTTTAACAGGATTATGAAAGGACAGACAGTAACTCTCATGGTCCGTTTGGTCTCAAACCTAGGTCAGGTAAGGTGGTGCTATCTAATACAGTATGCCACAGCAAATCTTGCTTCCCACATTGGAGCTGAAGATAAGGGCAGCAGAAATGTGAGACTGGGACTTTTTGGAACCAATAGAAGGGGAGAGGCCACTGCACAGTACAGTGCCCACGGGTCACTTATGGCAAGTGCACAGTTGGAAGAGACATGACTAGCTGCTCTGACAAGCTCATAACTGCACTCTCTCTAAATTGCAGTTATTTGCTACATTGATTTCGAGAGCCCTGCGCCGATACAACATTTCTGCATCGGATCTGCAAAAATGGTCCGAGTATCCACAGATGCAGATATCCGTGGATATAAAGCAAATATTTGCAGGGCTCTATTGATTTCTTTTGTGTCTTTCGCCGTCCTTTGTAGGGGGGGAAAACAGTGCAGAACTGCCTTTGGCAATCAATGGCTGGCGGGCTATTGTCCATTGAAATAATATGTGGGGTTTCCGAGTTTGCCAAAAATCATTAGGCTTAGCACATTTAGGCTGCCATGCCCTTGCCATTTCCAGACAGCTGCTAACTCCTCTTATTTAAAGCAGATCTTAATTTTCTGAAGACTAGGAAGCCAGGCTACAAATAGTTTTAGTTAGTGCTATCTTCTGATATTTGCATCAGTCATATGCATGTTCTATATTAAGAATTTAAAGTATAGTTGAGAAATGCCGCCTTGGCCAAACAATGAAGAATTTCACATGAACATCTGGGAGTTTCTGAGCTCGTTAGGAGAAGCTTGCCTTACTTCTTTACAATATGCATTCAGGTCAATCTTTTGCTGTCTTAACAAATTTGTTCTTTGTTAATACTAGCTTGTAAGCACTCAGTATCAAAATGCATTCTGCAGTTGGTCATTTATTGTCTCTGTGGACAGTTCACTCTCTAATGTACAGTGTATTATAAAAAGGAGTTCCACCTTTTAAGAAGTTTATGCTTTGGGTATTTCCATAGACTCGGTGGTTAAGATGAGAATACACATCTTTTATGTGTAGCATGCGTGTCATAAAATGTACAGGACCAGTGTTGGCATTAGGAACAAGTTACATAAAATGCTCATTATTGGGGATGTCTAGATTCTTTCCTGCTAAGATAACCCCCCCCCCCCCCAAAATTAGAACCTCTTTCAATGCGTTTTCACAAGAATTAAATTTAAAAGTGTAATAAGTTACAATATTTCTAAATATCATGGAAATTCTTCCAAGTTTAATACTGCAAAGATATTGGTATTTGCAAGTATGAGGATAATCAAATAATAAAATAGTCACCTGCAAGGTTTTTTTGATAGTGGAGAGTGATAAATCAAATGCAAACTAGAATGCTTAACCTTGTCCTTTCCATTGCAGCAGTGCAGCATTATGAAGCTTTGGTTAATAAGAAAATTCATACTCGTAACTTGTGGTTTCATAAACTTTCTCCTGTGACCTGGTTTTAAATATTTATTTTAATTATTATTGGTTATAAATAAATACAGGGTGTTCCTTCCACAACAGTTTTATGCTGGGCTACAGTAAAAAGCTGTAAGAATAGATATTTTCAAAAACCAGTATGGTCTACCCTGTCAAAAATGAAAGCATAGTTACGTACCCAGACAGATTTGCTACCTACCTAATTTCCAGGCACAAATGCAGACATTGGAAGGGAGAGCCTATGTGCTTCCCCTTGAAAATTTAACACCTAAAGACTACATGTAGCTGCTAGCCCATTGAGCCTGAAGTTATTGTAGTCACTGTATAGCATTGGAACATACTTGTTCCGCTTAACATTTCAATAACTGTGATTTTCTCTCTTACTTTACTGGTGGATTTTTTTTTCCATAGCGGGGGTGTTCCAAATATTGACAACTGTCTGTTTTATAACAGCTTTCAGCCGTTCCTCTCGCCAGGACTCTGGAGTAGTGGACCCTGGATTTACAATGAGGAGGAAAATGGAGCATTTAAGGGAAGAAAGGGAACAAATAAGACATCTTCGCAATGTACGTTCCCATGACTTGCTGTTTAGGCTCAAGCTGGGGGGGCCACACCCTTGCGTGCAGTGCGCTTACTTTTCTTTGCACCACCAGCATGTACTTGCTGTAAAACCTGTCTACGTGGCCCAGGCAGTGCAAGGGTGATAACTGCAGTATTGTAACTCCATCTTTGGAGTTTGTATGCAACACATCTCTCCTACCAGGTTAGGAAAGGGAGTGCAGTTGGGAGGCACCTACACCATGTCAATCTGGGCCATACGTTTGGCCCTTGAGAGCCAAATGCTGCTGTAACATGGCACAAGGAGAATGGTGCCCACCTCTTGACTGTGCATTCTGGCATGTACCTGAAGAGTTGGTCCCGGATTTCGAATCATCATCCCTGAATCATCAGACACGCTTTGGTGGGAAGGACCTTAGCTGAAAAGAGTGTGAATAATGCCATGTTGGATCTAAATTTCAGTGTTTTGAATAAATGTTTTCCTATATGGCTCTATTCTGAAAATCATTTTGTAAGTTACATTCTTAATTATTAAAAAAAGTGTAACTCTTTTTTTATGCAGCTACTAAATAATGGTTAGATAAAACAGAAACTTAGAACAGTCAGTTCTTCTTGATGTTGTGTTAGTTATATTTTTAATTCATCCTCAGATTCCCAGCTGCATGTCATCAGAGGCTGCACACGTCCAAAGGGCACATAATGTACAGAGATTTCAGTTAAACACGGAATCTATATACTAGATAATACCATGATAGCAGCTCCAGCTCCTGCTGTAGCAGCAATTTGCTCAAGTCCAGTTAAGCTGTTTAGGAGAAGCCCTGCTCCTAAGGTGATTGATCGAGTCTGCTTCCTGCCCCTTTCTCCATGAAGGCTTGTAATTTGTGTGGTGAAAAGCACTTCCTCCTTCCCCCAACTCTCTTGCTACACAAGTGTAGGTACTTCCACCCCTCACCACTCAATTATCACTTGTCGGGCGGGTGACACCCCAACCCCCAAAATATGCTTCCACTCCAACTATCTGTGTGTGTCTCTCTCTGTGGGTGTGACCCCAGAGTAGAAGAAAAAAGAAGTTGCCTCCCATGAATAGCATGTATCAAACCCATAAGCCTCCATATCTTCACCAGCAGCTGATGCTGCTTTTGAGCCTGACATTTCAACCTACAGATCCTTCACCTTCAGAGAATGAATGTGCAAGCTGTCGGTTATATGGGCTTTCATAGGAGCAGTAGGTTTGTTTTCATAGCCGATCTGCACACGTGCACAGAGCACCATGGTAGCAGCTGCATGAGCTGCTACCTCGATATCCCTGTGAACGTAGTCACATCATTAAAAACTGAGCTGAGGAAAAGCAGATTAATTATACAGAGAATATTTGTACCCAGTAGCATAACAGTTTAGGCTTAATGTTGCCATTTTTAAATTTATGGGATTACTGGATTTTAAATTAAACCAAAATTTCCTTGACAGTGATACTATCGTTACTATGGACGCCTCTTCTATTTTACAGAATCTTGAATCGAGGTTAAAAGTCATTTTGCCAGATGACATTGGAGCAGCACTGATGGATGGGGTTGTTCTTTGCCATTTAGCCAATCACATAAGGCCACGTTCTGTTGCAAGTATTCATGTACCATCACCAGCAGTGGTGAGTCATCTGCATCATTTTTATTCTATCTGAAGTGAAAGCAAACTGTTGGAATTCACCACTAGAAAATTGTGAATTATCTTCACTGTTTTAAATGGTTATATTGTCAATTTTCATTTTATTTCAGGATGCAATAAGCAAGTATTTGGTATTACATTTAGGCTCAAGGGTTTAGCAGTCTGTTATGTACTAAGTCCTTAAAAAATTAGTTTTGTAACTTCGCTTGTTTTCTAATACAACTGTTATTGAATTTGCATCATAATTATTAAGTCCTTTTATAAATGCGTAACAAAGATCTAACATCCTATCTTTACAGCCTAAACTCAGTATGGCAAAGTGCAGAAGAAATGTTGAAAACTTTCTTGATGCTTGTAAAAAATTGGGCGTGCCACAGGTATACTAATCACTTTATTGATTAATATACTTATTAATAATCACAGACAAGATGTGTCAGCATTTACTCTTCTGGGTTATCTAGAAAGCCTAGTAGTTAGAGCAGTGAAATGGGAGTTGGGAGACCTGTGATCCATTCCTGGCTCTGCCACTGGCTTGCTGGGTGATCTTGGCCAAGTCACTTCCCTGTGCCTCAGTTTCAGGGGATAATGATAGTGACCTTCTGTATAAAGTGCTTTGAGATCTATTGGTGAAAAGTGCTATAGACGAGCTGGGTGTGTGTGTTTATCAGAAACCCTTTGTTTAGTGGCACATTGTGGCATGAATGGGAATATCTGCCTAGGAAAGATCTTGGACTAGAATGAAAGGGATTTTGCAGATCACAAGGTGCATTGACAGAGCTACATAGAAGAAGCTTGCATGGCTCTTAACTGTACTAGCTCATCTCTAGTTCTTGTTACTATTCCCTCACTTTCATTTTACCCACGCTCATTCTTCCACCTCCTCCATGAAGGGAAAAATTAAGGGCCAAATTTTCTACTGTGCATTAGGGGACAGGAAACTCCATGAGTTTGTATTTGCAGTAGCCACATGACTGTTCTGACAGTGGCTGTTGAACTCCACCTCAGTAGGACAGGAAGGTGGCTTAACCCCGAAAACCATAGTTCCTAAGCTATAGCCCTGTGCTTCTGCTCCTGCCCTCCATATCCGCACAACTCCTGCACAAGTCATGTTTCCAATGACTCCCTTACTGGCTGCTACCAATGACTCCACTTTGATAGAGAAAAGGGGTTCATGTTGAATGTAATGCTTATAAGAGAATTCCTATGGGTTTGGGTGGGAGATGATTCATTCTTGAGTTCCAGCAAATTGTAGTCCTCCCTACAGACAACTTGTAGTGGAGCTTCTGCAAGGACAAGGAAGGAAGAAGTCTGCCACTGACCAGCACTACCCCACCCTCACTCCATTTTGCTCCCTGTGTTTATGAAAACAGATGGGGGAGTCTGGCCCTAAATCTTCAATAAACTATCAGAGGCTTTTAAGAAATAGTGTTTATTTCTTCTTAGTTTAATATTTTAATGAAACACTCTTTAGTTTTTGTTTTGCTCTAATTTACTAATTTATATTTGTGTGTGTAATTTTTTCACACTGCAATTATCAGCTCTTATGTGAGATATAATTAACTTCTGAGCACCTTGTCACACTTAAAATTTTGCTGTAGAGATAGATGCATATGCAAACTTATTGACCAGAGAAGATTTCTACATGGATCTCTAATTAGTCATAGTGAGGTATCTGAGTGTTGAAGTCTTCTAAAAGTACATTTTTTACCCAAGCTGTGCAGAATGATTGAAACATGATGCATGTACCATTTTATTTTTCAGGAAAGGCTTTGCCTGCCTCATCACATTTTGGAGGAAAGGGGTCTAGTGAAAGTTGGTCTTACAGTTCAGGCTCTGCTTGAACTACCTTCATCTAAAGCATCCCAGCTTTCCTCTGTGTAACGTGACTTTTGGAAACCAGACAACTTATCATGGATCTATTGATTTAGATTGCTGCCAAGCAATTCAGCTTCCTCAATGGGAACATCCAAGCCATCAGAAGTAGTTTCTGCCCAGACACTTTAGACAGAGCCTTATTTTGGAGGGACATGTAAAACTTGGATTTCAAACTGACTGTTACCTGAATATACAGTTATACTGATGTTTTAAAACTTGGATGCACAAGAGATTTTAACAACATCAGATTCTCTGTCCAGGTAATACAAGTTCCAAGTTTCCCATTAATGTTTCATGATATTATTTTTAAAAGCTGGATTTTTTTACTACATTGAAAATGTTGCTGTTTAGTTTTGTTTTATAAAGGATAACACACACACACACACCAAACAAAGCCCTACTATAAAAAGTTTGTCAATCATTTGGATTAAATGTAAAGATAAAACAAAAACCAGCTACAGTATGATAGTGAAAATCTGAGTGATAGATCATATTTAATCCATTTTTGTTTCATATAGCTCTATATTTGAGTTTATTTCTTGCACTTCTGACTGTAATTTATATACTTCTAACATCTCCAGTATTTAGTTGGATGTATGGTAATTACACAAAACCTTATATAGGAAAAAGGTGTTTTTTTCCAATCTTCTAAGTTTGTGCCAAACTATTTTTTCAGTTGTACAGTAGATTGTTTACATGTGAAGTGCCTGTGTAATTGATGACTCTTAATAGTCTTAAAACGTTTTTGCAATTTCTTTGTCTGAAATAGATACAATGGGAATTTTAAAATATTTTAATTTTCGTAAGGTCAGTAATATGTGAAGATTTAAATAATGCTTCACATTTTTGGTGTTAGGTGTTTTAAGTTGCACAATTTAATTGATTATGTTGTCTAATGATTGGAAAAATAATGTAAATACATTTTATTTATGCTATTTAATTTGATAATACCCAATCACTTCTGTTTTAATGTATTGTTAACAAAAATTGTCACTTTGAGTTATTTTCCTTGTTTGAGACAAACCATGATGTCCATAGTTAAATAAGAAATATATGGACTAGTGACGCATACATAATAATCATTAAGGATGTTTTGATAAAGCTGCCAAAATCTCAGGTTTATGCTGTGACTTTCAGTATTTTACATCATGTTGTCCCTGATTTTGCATTAGTTTTTTTTACAATAACAAATCACCACAAGTTAGATTTAAAAAAAAATTCAAGCTAGGAATCTTTATATTTTTCAGTGTTTACACGTTTGTTGAGAGGGACTTATTTTGGAAATAACCACCTGCATGACATACCGCATCATCACTTTGCACCAATACTTCTCATTTGCACCAGTATCACCAATTATCAACAGTTAAGTCTGTGCTGAGAATATCAAACTCTCGGGGACAAATGTAAAAAAAAAATTAAATCCCCGCAACAGAAGCTTTGTCGAACTTCTGGGTTTAAGTACTTGTTCAATTCTACAACTTTTATGACTGATATTTTTCCCACAGTGTTCTGAGAACTTTCAGAATGATGGACAGTTGACTCCCTTTCTTTCTGTCTCTCTTTCCCTACCTCCCAAACAAAAAAGTTCACCTTCTTAGTAAATATGTGACTTAATCAAAAATGTTGGGCTCGGAGTATGTCTCAGATGTATTTTTAGACTTACTTTAGACCAAGGGTAAAACCTTCTGTGCCAGATGATGTAAAAAAATTAAGTTGTACTCTTTTGCCAGTTGACCTAAAGCTGTTTCATTTCATTTGGCAAAGGAATGGGGAAGAAAATACTGTTTTATTTCTTCCTTACTCTCTTTAATTGAAGCATTAAAGCCAGTTGAGAAGAAAATTAAAATCCTGATGGCTAAAAGATTCAGAAGATAAAATTATTTTAATGTTCTTTAACTAAAATCCATTGAAATAAAAGTAATTCTTGGACTCTTGTTAACATACTCTATTGTTTATAGAGTGCATTCTCAAATACAGCTCATTTAAAAAAAAAAAAAAATCAAAGCCCTCCTTTACAAAATCATATACATAAAAATATCATTTAAACAGGTACTCATGCAGAAACTGTAATTGGCTCAATATAATCGGCTATTAAAATAAGTAGTTTCATTTATCTTTCCTCTGAATTATCCTTTTTTATTGTTTATCTTAATTCATATTCATAGGAGAGGTCCATTCTAAAAAAGAATGGGTAAATGTATTCTCATTTCACATAAATGCAATATCAGGGGGGAAAAATAAATTTAGTTGAGATTACAATGAACAAGCACATTTAGTTCAGTAAGCAGATTTTTGGTGGTTACTTTTGCTGTATTTTAATAGCTGAAGAATTACCTGATCATTCAAAAAGAGGAAAAATGTTCCATATTAAGAACTGTACTATCTTGCAGTTTTTTATACATACCTTCTTGACCTCAAAAATAGCAATTCCTGTTCCAGTAGTGTTAACCATAGACTTGCTGGTGGCAAAGACATTAACTTTTAGATTTTTGTAACCATAGTCTAAGTTGGATAATGCAAGTGTTTGTTGGACTGTTTAAATACGTTCACCAATCCTGAATAACGCTTCAGTTTTCCTGATGGAATTAAGTTTCCTCTATAAAGTTAGTTGAATACAGTGCAATCCTCACTTAAGACCACTTCTAGTCACTTAGTTTTTGTTTATCCCTTGTGGTGTATTGCAATATGTCAAGAGAAGATTACATTCTGACTTAAAATTTTAACACTAAGAAGTCTAGCTGTCAGTGTAGTACACTAGTTTCACTTAAAAATAAATAAATAAAAGTTAGCACAGTTTTCCCTAAATAGCTTAAAATAGTTTGACAGATTTATTTGGGCATAAGCTTTCATGGGTAAAAAAATCCCACTTCTTCAGATGCATGACTCCATGCATCTGAAGAAGTGGTTTTTTTTACCCACGAAAGCTCCTCCTCCTGCGCAGGGATCCAGAGCTGAAAACAGCCTGATGCCGGGTCCCAGGCTTGTATGGAGTTTCCTGTATGCCATCTTCTTCCTTTAGGGCATGCTGGGAACCACTGCTGCCCAGAACCCTCGTTCTCCCCCCAGCAGTGTATTTGCAAGCTGGAGAGCTGGACTTTGCTGGCCCCTACTGGCAGCCAGCAGCTTTGCAGTGCCAATTCTGCAGGGAAAAAAGAAATTCTGCCCAGAACATGAATTCTGCACAAATTCTGCATTGCGCAATGGTGCAGAATTCCCCCAGGAGTAGTAGCAGCTGCAGAAGAGCCTGAAAAAGGAGTTAATATGGCTCCATGTTTTAAGGGATGAAGAAACAATACCTCCAATCTGAAAATGGGGGAGGCATTGCTGTCTACAACACATTTTTCCCCCACCTCAGAATTCAAAATAAACCCCTCAACTGCAGCTTTGGAGGGTAAGGGAAGGGCAAGGTTCCTTAGGTCAATATTGAATTAATATTCGATTTCCATGCAGAAATCAGGGTTCAGAGCAGGATGCAGTGTGGCAGGGCCTGACCATTCCCTTGTGTTAGCCCAGCCCACTCAGTGGCAGTAACAGTCTCCCTCCTTCCACGTACGGACAAGGGGAGAACAGCCCATAGAAGGATGCTCTTAGCTGGTGCAATTAACTAATATTGCATGTTTAGAGTGTTGTTTCTAAATGTCTTTAATCATAAGAAGCCATCATCAATCCTTCTATTTATTATCTATTTCTATTGCTAACCGCATCTGCTTACAGACCCACTAACTTCACCCTCTCATGCTCCCAGGAGCCTGTCTTCCCTCTTACTTTTCCATGTGGGAAACTGCCTCACAGCTCTGCACTGGGGCGTCAAATGGAGTGAAGAGATCCCAACATCCTGCACATTTGAAACACTGTGTTTCCATTTTGTGTAGGACCTTCTTTGGCTACTCAGATTGGGCCCTTTTTGGTAGGGGCTTCAGAGAAACTCAGCATTGGCTTGACTTGAATAGGAATAGACTTATGCCAACAGTAAGAGCTTTAGGAAATCTCACTCATTGCCTTTTGATGATTTAACTATCATAGGAGTTATTCATGTGCTGATTATTGAGCATTCAAAGCCGAGTTACCCCAAGATAATATAAAACTATAAGATGCATTTTTAATTATTATGTGTCTGAACATATCAATATGTTTTCGTCCCATATGTTTCTTCTCTTTCCCCCAAGGATTGGCAGGATATTTGGATGGCTCCAATATCTCATGTAAGAATGTTTTGTCCTTTAAGGAATAAGGTATTTCACCTAAGGCATTTCTAGGTGATTCGCGCCACTACTTAAAACACTCTATAAAGTGCTTAGTTCAAGGTGGCTGAATGACTTCAAACTGTCTCAGAAATACACGTACTAAAGTGTCTCAGTGGTTTACATATAAATAATTAAAGGCTGGACTGATTAGATCTGTGACTTTGATTGGCATGGCACACAGGAGTGCAAGTCATTGACAGACAATCAAAAAGCCTCAGTTGTGTCCAGATTTCTAAAGCCCTTCCATAACATAAGCAGGGCCCTAAATAATGTACTATATAAAGGAGCAAATTAAGGAAGGAAATAGTAATAATTTTTTAACTGAGACATGAATTGTAAGGATTCTGAGTAAAATCCTGGCTCCATTGAAGTCATTGGGAGTTTTGCTAGTGACTTCAATGGGACCAAGATTTCACCATCTGATCTTATGGAAACCAAAAGCCTACAGTATTTTGAAAAGAATTCCTCAGGAGCACAACTTTTATACCACAAGAAGCTAAATAGTTCCCACCTCCACAATTGAGGCTATCAGCAGTTGTTTCACGATAGTGAAAACTGCATTTTTTTTTTAAATGTTTGGTGACTTGGAGGCAATTCTCTTCCAAAATAAAAAACATTGGCATTAAAATCCATGGCCAGATTCAAACCATGCTAAGATGTGATGTATTCCATAAATATTTTCAATTTTGATCATTTTTTGACAAGATGGTGATTGTCTTCACTAAACCTCAGAAGTTCCATGTTTCTCCCCAGTATTTCAGGAAATGATAGTTTTAAAATATATTTTCAAAACTACTGGTGTTCACAGGCAGAGCGTGTGAAAATGAAGTAAAGGATCACGTAAGCTCTGACGTTTCCTTTTGATATTTTCTTAAATCCCAAAACATAATATAGGGCTGCATTTTAATCTGGCTTTTTCAAAATAAGTCTGCATTCCAACACAGAGACAATGATAAAACATTTATTTGGTAAGCAAAGTCTTGAAAAGAAATATCTTTACCAAATTCCATCTTCCCCAACATGTTTTTCATAATTTGGAAAATGACAAAATGTCAAGCCTTCACTTGCATTAAAAGGCCTACTTTTACCATGATACAATCTAATTAACTTTTGTCTCAGTGTAGTAGGTTCTAGTTTATATTTTCACTGGTAATTCTTACAAGATTTTTAGCACTTCTTCCTGTTAAAAATAATTCTGCACCGGTTAGGCATTCTGCTTCTTCGAGTGATGGTCCATGTGTGCACCATGCATCTGAGTCTGGAGATTTTTAGTAAGCAGTGTCTGTTGATCCACATACACAGTTACTCTTCTCAAGCTCTGAACCAAGGACATATGAGGCAGTGTGGACCAATGCCTCTCCAATTCCTTCCACATTGCCTGAGAGTGGAATCTTCTGCATCCACAGCTTTTTCGATGGTTTTCTTCAATCAATCTGTGTGTGTGTGTGTGTGTGTGTGTGTGTATAGATAGTGCAAATACTAAAAACTATATTTTCGAGTTGTAGTATTTGTATAGTGTAGTTTAGTTATTTTTTTTCCCCACGTTGGAGAAATTCTCCTCCAAGGGTGAGGACTATTCCCACAGTCCCAGGGTTTAAGAACTGTTTCCTGCCCCCCACTCCTTCTCAGTGAGTGATTAACACCAATGCTGACTTTACTGTCTTGGCAAGGCTCACATCCCTGCTACGTGCAGCATCCGCCACTCTTTCCCCAAATTCATGAGGGTTGAGCACTCAGACTGAGAGAGAACCTCATGGGGAAAAAAATCATGAGACCCCAGTTGCATCCAGACTGGGGAGACCCCCTCTGTACACAAGTCGCAGTCAACAGGCAGCATCCCTCTGAGCACAAACTCAGGAGCTGAGGCTACAACCTGCAAGGCTAAAGAATCAAAGGGTTCTCATGAGAGTATGGGGCACTCTCACAAGCGCAGGGGCAAAGATCCTCTTCAAAATCTTACCTGAAGAGATCCCTCCCCAACTCCATCCAAGTCGGGTGAGTCCTTGCACACAGATCCTAAGGACTTAGGCCCAGGTAAACCACCTCTGCAGGAGAATGTGGCATGCAGGAGTATAGATCTGTTGATACCAATCTCGGTGCCGACATAGAAACCAAAAGACAGGCATCCACTACCTTCAGCATCCAGATCAGACTCTGCACC